GTTGGTAGGTCGGTTGGTTGATAGGTAGGTAGGTGGCGGTGACGGCAGTGGCTTACACAACCACGCCGTAAACAACACACAGGCCCGCTCACCACAACCAAAAACACTTCCGCGATGTGCAGTGCTTAATGTATATAGTATATATGTGTGGAGAAATAATTATTAACTGTCAGTGAAGAAAAAAACAATACGTCGTTCTATATATTATTACTAGCTGTCCCGCGCGTCACAGCGTTGTCCGTGTATTATATTATACAGCTATATAAAAAAAACCCTTTTCCCCCTTAAAGGTCTAATTTTGAAAAATCCTTTCAAAAAAAAAAATAATAATAATAATATTTACTTATGATTCTAATGATTCTATACACATTTATTAAAAAATGATTCTATAGTTAAAATTATAATGAACATGAATGATTTCCTTAGGGGAACCTCCATTTTATAATGTTGTTTTTTCGATATTATTTAAAATATGTTTAAAAAAACATGTAATTAAAAAAAAAAAAATGTTTTTATGAATCACATTATAATATCACTGACCGTTTTAGTCTGATTTTTATTTTTTTGAAAAATGAATTCTGTACATTCCTTCTAAAAGCATAAAAAACCGTTTGTAGAAATGACAAAATAGCAACACGCCACCTAATATAAAAACACGGTAAGAATAATTTACCTTGTGTGGAAATCATTTGAGCATGAACTTTGAGCATTGTGATAAGCAGCGTCCTTGTATATCAATTTAGTTTAATGAATATTTGTGTCTTTGTTGTTTAAAACTATTCCTACTGAAAAGTTTTTGTCTACCAGAAAGTTTATAGTATTAAATTTACACATGTTATCCTTAAAGGTCTTTGGAATACTTGGAATTTGATAATATTAATAAACCCAAATACGTACTATTTTATTATTTTTTATTTAATATTTTAATAAGAACGTAGTTCATATTATATTATTATTTATAGGATTATTAAAAACAATTTGACTAAAATAAAATTGTTTATCACTACTCATCAAATAATAAATAAAAATAAAAATATATTCTGCAAACAATCTTATCATAAAAATTTATCGTATGGTACGTACACATAGTTACAATAAGATGTAATTAAAAATTCATGGTCGCCGACCAGCCCCTACCTTCTTATTCTGTAAAAGTTTGTCGTCGTATATTTATTATTTATATATCGTTATAGACTTGTATAGATTATAGACGTATAGTAATATATTGTTATAATATGTATCTTATAACTATAGCAGTATAGCCGTCATACTACCGCACTGGTGACTGCCAGTATGGATAAGGAACATCTCAGATCAAGAAGACTATATAATATATATATATATAGAGGTACATAGCATATAATATCGAAAGGTTATGTGTCTAATAGCTTCGCTGGTATCTTATGTATATATACCTAAATACTAATATATATATATATCTAATTGTTTTCAATTTCTCTACGACCATATTTACTGATTTCAACATCAGTCGAGTAATTGCAGTTCGGTTAGCATCGGTGTAGCGGACTTTCAATCACGGAATTATCGTCATTGATTTCTTCTTACACCAACTACTATAAGTGTAAGTTTGCAGCTAGTAATTATTATAGCTCCTAATTTAATATAGGAATACTATAAGCCATAAGGAGTATACTAAAAGGAATTCAATTTTATCATAGGTGCAACTGAGGGCCATTAACTAACTATAAGTGCTAGACGGCAGCTACGAGAGTTTTAGCATCCTCCCAAATACGAAATTTCATTAGATTTATAAATTGTATTCTTCCATCTGTCCACATGAACTCTAACATTATTGTTTAGTGCTTTGAAATGTTTCAATTTTAATTTAGAAATTTGTATATTTGATAATTATGTTATTGTTTTCTTGTTTTATACTTTATATTTAAAGTCTGAATTGGAGTAGGTACACAACTATTAATACTATCTATGTTATAATATGTAAGTGTAATTACTAATTATATGCAAGTACAAATTTATAACATCATATTTTGGTAAAACTATATAAGTTATCTACTGGCAATTTCAGCATCCCCCGGCGTATAAGGTCTGTAAGACACTAAAACCATAGGACTCACTACTGCAGCTATGGATCTCAAACCTCAAAATCTAGAAACCTCAAAACCTATATTACGAAGTTTAAAAATTCAAATGACAAATTATAATAATACTGCAATACCTATACGAGCATTATTATTACGGTGTATTTTAATCTTCGTAAAATAATACGATATGTACTTGATACAATACTTGGGGTAATATAAATTAAAACTATTAAGTAATATCGTTTGCAACAAAGCGTTAATAATTACATATAATGATAATATCCATAGAAAAGATTCCGATCGAAATTCTAATCAAAGAGTTTTCTCGTTTGTTCTTTTGTACGTCTATAATACATACATGACATACTTAAAGTTTATATAATAATAATATGTAGGTGCATACAATATTGTTCAAAGGCACCTCTGCCCGCGAATAGCTATATTATGTTCTCTCGCATCTTCCAAATATACTGTTATATTTTCCTTGGCTATCGGACCCAAAACATGACTGCGGGGGCGATACGGACGTGTGTGTATGGGTAATACGCTCGCAGCGCATTTCTTTTGTTTGCCATCTATGTATATGTGGTATATTTGGTCTACGGGCGCATGCGTTAGCACATCCATCAACCCCGCTGTGCGGGTATTTTTTATCCAGTTTTTGTGCGCCTGCAGCAGTATAACGTGGTTACCCTTTTTACCGTGCATATAATATTATATATATATATATATAGGTTTGTACATTTAAAAAAACAACCCCCTCTCCCCCGATGCCAAAACGTGGACCACCACGGAAAATCGAGAAAGTCGCGGGAAGGGACCGACCGTTCGCGCGAGGGTGGCCCGCGAAAGAGTAATGGATGCGGCTGCGGTTGTTTGCTTTTTGAACGAGCGACGGCGGCGGTCGAGTTTATCTATAAACCGGCAACAATAAATCGCGCTGCGGCCGTGACGGCGCGGCGGCGGCGGTGGCGTCCCTCGTCGTAAATTAGAGACCGCGGCGGCACGGTCGTGTCCAAAGTTTGATAACGTTTTGATAACACAATTATTCGAATACGCCGCGTGTATGTAACACGGCTAGGAAATCGATATCTCTGCGTATATATATATGAATATTGGGAGCTGATGCTGCTGCCATCTAAATGTATATATATAAGTATATTATATTATATGTGTGTGAATGCGAACGTGTGTGTATATAACAGTATTATATCTATTATGTAGAGGAAGAAGGAAGAATAGAGATATCGTGACGCGCTCGGCTAATGGTACGACGTCGATCGAGCGGCAATATTATATGTGTAGAATATATATGACGTACGTGTATTTTCGATATTGAATTTTTGAAGCTGTAATACATTACATGTATCAATGTATGTATAAACTATATAGGTATTATGTGAAATATAAATTGTATAAATATAGGTACTATATATACAATATAGTGTATATAAATATAATATAGGATACCTATGTACATCGTACGATCGGCTAGTGTAATAAATTATGACATATATTTATATATACAACAGCTTTAGCTATATATAGGCGCTGCCGGTGGCGAGTGAACGATGGCAGGCTTGATGTTAGGCCAAACGGATTAATATAATATCGCATATTTCAATATTTGAAATAATAACTCGTTATATACGTATAACCTAATACAATAAAAGTACATAGGACGGTAGGACTGAAGCTGCTGCAGCTGTCGATGATCGTCCAGGTTGACAAATCTTTAAGCTTGGAAAGGCAAGCGACAGATAGAGAAGGGATAAAGCTGAAGCACCTCTCACTCTTAGAATCTTAAAAACTTAGATATACTTATTATATTACTTTTCCAAACTTCCGAAGATATACCTTTCATATTTATAGCTCATTTGTAAAAAAGAATAATAGGTAGGTACTTATACTATACCTAACCTACCAGCTCATTAAACTCTGACAATATACCTATATGACATGTTTTATTTAATAATTAACTGTGGTAATTGGTTATCATTTTTAGCTATATATTTAAATTAGATAAACCTATACCTAAAATATATCAATAAAATTATTAGTTGATAACAATAATTTAATATGTAACATATAACCGTATTTGCAGTAAATATTGACGTGAGTGCATTTTGAATTATAGGATCGTGCAGTAGCACCGTGGTAAAATAAAAATTAATTTAAAAACAAAATAAATGATATTTCAACACAAACCTTAATGTTTATAAATTGTAATATCGATTGTAACTACCTAATTTCCTTATAGAGAGAGGAGGACTTGGGGAAGATCATATTTCTTATACGGGAATAAGTACACGGGTAAACGGTAAAAATGTCTCATGCCCGAAGTTTGAAAATATAACCTGTGCCCCTGAATGCAAAAATCCTAAATTCAGTATTTCAATGTGTTTAAATCCACCCTACATAAACTGCTGCAGTTATAAAAGGAAACGACTCCCTATACGTAAGCACAATAACACATCTATACACATGGTCTTAGTTTTTACGTATTAAACATATTTTATGCTTTGTGTTATAAATTAAACTTTTTTACAGTTTTATTAGTTTTTCATAAAACATTGAATATATTTACAGACGGTTCTAATAATATAAGTATACTTATTATTAAAAATGAAGCGCTCAATATTATTATTTTTTTTTTCCATATTCTTATTAATATCTGGTAGGTATAGGCATGTACAATTATACATATTCTACATTATTGTTTGACATTCATAAAATATTCTTCTCCCGTATTCCACACCACCATAATTATTATATTCTATACCAGTGGAGTAGTATGGTATTATTATTATTATTATGAAAATTTAACCTTCACTGTTATATTGTGTCGTACGGTAAATATTGCAATGCATGGTCACACTGTAAAAGAAATCGATAGTCAACGTAACCGGGAGGCGCCGCTTGTCCGGGTAGGGCCGGTAGGCAGCCACGACTGGCACAGGCCACAGATAACCTTATCGTCCCGATTCGTACGGTCCTTTAACACGTGTTAAAAGTTTAAAATTTTTTGTTAAGCTTGTGATTAACAAGTTCAATACATTTTAGTTCATTATATTATTATTAAAGTAGTTCTATCATCGAAGCGGTCAGTTATAATATGTTGATTTGAAAAGCATGAAATTGAATCATTTCCAGAAAGTCTTCATTGGATGGTAAGTCGTTTATACTTTATATTATATTAATAATTAGTAACTAAGTACCTAAATATAGTATTATATTATACTATTTTCGTAGTTTATAATCATATTATTATATAGTTTGTTTATATTTTCCTTTTAAATTTAATTTAAGTTAAATAGGCAGGATATTGTCTTTAACATTTTTTTTAATAGTACGATTGTTATCAATATCAATGTTTCAATACAGTGATAACATAATCTTATGTTCATATACACAATACAATTGCTATGAAATAGGTATGAATTATTTCTTAATAGTTCATTTTACATGGATACTTGGATCATTTACGCACTGGTTTCTAGGTGTAAAATAGTTAATTAATCTATAAAATGCCAAATTCTTTATTTGTAAACCTATGTAGTTAAAAACAGTATTATTTTACCGAATTATCTATTTATGTAGGTAGGTATAAATTAATTAAAATAATTTTATAAGATAGGTTATTTATTTGAATTTCAATACACGATTGTATTACTTACTGAAATTAATAAAAAAAACTAATTTGGTTTACATTAATAATAACAAGTACGAACTAATGACACTAAAGTTAAGAAAATATTTTGAATGTTAATTATTACAAAAAATGTGATTTTAAAGAGGTAAATTAGTTGAAAAATATAACATTTTAAAAGTTGTTTCGTAATGGTTATAAAATAAAATTCTGTAATAATTGTAGTGCTTGGTAACTTCATTGGTAACATTCATTAGTATAGAAAAAATATACCATTGTGTTATATTGCCCCTTATTCATTTTAGTTTTAATTGAAATTTAAACCATTAGGTAGGTACCACAATATTATATTTTGAGTAATGTTAACTCTCTTTTCTAATGAAAAAATATTGAATCCTTAATATTTTGTAGAAATTATAGTTAATTTTTTTTGTTTTTTAGGTCAATTGTTATTACCGGTGGTCTTTATTCATTTGTCCTATCGAAGCGATATGTCGATTCCAAGCGTTATGATAGTATGAAAGCTAGAGAACGTATACGAGTATCAAACATTGGAGAATACGATCCTAGTTCAAGGAAATTCTAATTACATTGTTCTGAAAAAAATATACAATTATGGCTGGAACACAAGTACAAATACCACAGAACCTTACTACCTTGCAACAAGTGGAATTAGACATGATGGCCGATATGTATGGTCGTATGACCGAAACATGCAGAAAGAAATGCGTCAAGCCAGAACATAAGGCGGGTGAACTGAATAAAGGAGAAAGTGTATGTTTAGATCGATGCATTGTCAAATATTTCCAAATGCATGAGAATGTCGGCAAAAATTTAAGGCTTGATTTTAATGCCAAATAATTATATACATAGTACTATTTTTAGTGAAGCTCATACTATTATGGAAAAAAAAATGTATTTAAATTTCTTAAGTATAAGATCAAATTGATTGTAAGTCAGGTTAAATAGTTGAGCTAGATTAAATTGATTATTTTGTATTGTATTAAACTGGTCAACATAATAAATGTAGATACTTAATAGAGTCTTAGATATTATATTAGTCTTCAAATTATCTAAGCGTTATAATAAAAGAATAAACTTAACAACATGTTGTTATTTATTTAGGGTAAAGCAATTAGTATCTAATTAAATACTTTTGAAATTATTATTACTGCTATTTTAATTACCTAAAACATCTAACGATGAGGAATGTTGGTAAATGTGTCTTATGTACAAATGAATATCATAAAATGTTAACTTGTTTGTTTCTATTAGAATCTCAATACATAAATTGTATTGTGACAAACTTCTGTTTACAGTTGTGTCTGAGGATTTAAAAGGCCCACTAATGACATAGGTTAAAATTATGTGTATACTGCTAGAATCAAATATTCATTGTTATGTTTAATAATGGTACTTTGACAAAATGGAATTACAATTTGGCCACATTAACATAATATGCATTATTCAAGTTATGGCATGATAACAAGTAAACGCATGTTTCTGTCTAGTCTGAACTACTTGTGTTTCAATGTAACTTACAAATAGTGAATAAATAAATACTTGACAATGCTTTAGAAAACAAATAATGTTTAGTCTATGGTGTTCTGAGGACGTTATACCTCCGTGTTGTCTATGTCTTACAAATGCATAACAGCAAACTTTACATTCAAGAATAATTAATTTTAAATATAAGAGTGAAATGACCTATTATAAAATGTAAAGGTAATAATATATTATTCAGGGTCCCCCACATCGGATTTTTTAACAAAAAATGTTCAGTTAAAATAAATAAAATAAAACGCTCATAACTCTCTTTAAAATGTTAACATAAAAAATACCTAGAGTTGGCCCTAGACATTTAGTCTTACCTTCGAATTTGATAATCAATCAATTATTTACTCTAATGCTAAGAATAACAGAGTTAAATGGTATTCTGAATGTAAAACTTGGTATAATAGTACCTTTAATAGTATGGTGTGTAGATATGAAGACAGTACATTTTTATAGTTTAGTCTTTAGTCTAAAATTGACGAAGAATAATTATTTAACAACTAACAAGGTATGAAAAGAACATGCTATTTTAATAACAATTTGACTATTCAATTTTAGGCAGTATTGTATTAATATATTTTTTTTTTAATTTAAAATAGATACTCAAGAATTTAGATTGTTGTATTCAGAATATGAGACTGAGTATATAGACTACAGAATGAAGATCAGTTTACCAGTATTGTCAATATTTTTATATGAACATTTTTAAATATTATGTACTAGTATCTTATAATAATATGTTCAGTAAGGATTCTAAAATGCACCCGATCAAATAAGTACAATGTTCACTGATGAACATCATAATAGTAACTGAGTTATGAAGCAAAAATTGTATATTTTGTAATTGATTTTATAACTTTTATACTAATTTTTTAGAATTTATAACAATTTAAAAAAAAAATGTTGGCCTTTTCCTAAATTATCATAAGATATTAAAATGATTAATTTTAACAATTAATATTTAGGTAATACATATCCCAAGATTTAAATAATTGCCAACTTAATAAAATAAAAACGAACGTATAAAAAAAAAATATATCATGTTAAAAATTTATACATAAATATGATTTTGTAGATATTACTACTTAGGCGTGAACCAAATACCAATTAGTTCAAAAAATAATTTATTAATATTTACAAGTAAAATGCTCAGTTTTTTTTTTTTTGCTCGCGGTCTCATTAGTCTTATAAAATCATTTGACAACTTTCACAACTGACCCATCTATTTATCTAAATGCTAAAAAAATCACTATAGATTTTAACGCACTTAAGTTGAATTCTGTTTCTTTTTGGTTTTAAAAATTACTATTGTTTGAGGATATATTTTGAATACCTACTATGGCAATAAAGGACGAAAGTGATTTATAATTATTATTTGAAGCATATAGTCGAGCTCAAAAAACTTTTTTTAGGCAGTATAAACACTTGTCAAACGCAATCCCTGGAGTAACGTTAAAAGTTTAGTCCCCTCGCCGTCCCAGTCACTTTTAGACATCGACGTTGCCATTATTATTTTTTTTTTTAAACGTTTCCTCCAAACATTGGTATAAAGGCATAAGGCCCATCCACCAACAACGGGCTTCCATTTTGGTCAAGGGAAGTGGTCCTATTCTTCTTATTCAGGGTTGATTTGTTCTACGTTTTTTTTTTTATTAGATAGCGAAAAATTCTGAACTACATTAAAGGTTTCAAAGTTTGACTCTAAAAAAACACTCAATTGCTGGGCTGCATTGTGGACCATCGTGTGTTTGTCTGTCTTATTGTTCTATAACCAAAACCGACCGACCGTTTAGAATTATTATAGCAGTATAATCTGCTGCTTTTTTCCATTCTGTTTAATTAAAATTATGGTCCGAATTCGAATCGTTATTATAGTTCGCTATACGTATAGTAATATAATGCATACTATAAAAGTCGTTGCGTTTAAATACAATTACTTCGCGTAACAGACATTTTCCTAATGACCTTAGACATTAATTTCTTATTTAAGACGTACGTTACCCTCCAGAAGAAAAAAAATAGAGAAAGAGGAAGAGAAGTATAAGAAGAAAGTTCACTCGTTTTTCGCATAATAAAATGTTCATTAAGATGCTAATGAATGGATGAAAATAATTAAATTCAGCAGGAGCAAAATAAATATATACATAGTAAGTATACCTATGGGCTATGAAGTATATAATAGTAGGTTTAAAATTGTACATACAATTTTATATAAATATAAATATATTATACATAGTTATACTTCGACTTATACTTATAACGGCACGGCGGCACGTTCTTTTTATATTATTATTTTTCGAGGAAACTCCGCTTCAAACAAAGTTTGATGGAGAGCGTCTATATTATTGTTGGGTTGTTGTTTAGGTGGGTACCTACTATAGGTATACATGGAAAAACTAAGACTGTTACCATCCGATGACCTATATTGTTATTTTCGTTATTTATTAAATACTCTATAATATTATACTGCGTAAATGATTGCATCATGTACCCACTACCTACTCATATTTATATTATATAAGTTATAGTGTATAAGCTGTTATAGTTTTACGTGTGACGAGCTCTCATCGGCAGCAATGCCAGGGGTGTCATGTCAGTTTTTTTTTTCTGGGTGTGCAAACTTTAAGGCAGGCCAATTTTTACATTTCACCAGGCCATTAAAAAAAATATATTTATATATATAAATGTAGGTAACCTATGCAAACCTATGTAAATATTCTTTCTTTCCCTTTTGTAATTCCAATTGAAACTCATATAACGGCTAATGTTGCAACTTTCAAATAGTTAGCAATTCAAAGAATTAAAAGCTTATTATAACCAATTAAAGCAACCAGCTAAAGCCATTTCACTATATTATTTGAAAAAAGGCATATAAGGTATAATCAATAAATCTGATAAGCCAAAAATAATATACAAAAATTTGAAAAATACATAGGTATATGTATTTTATTTATATTAACTACATATGAAATCATAATGTATAAGTTAATTATGACGGCGCATTGGAGTATTAATGGCGCACCAATTGTTAACATTTTTTAAGTTAGTGGTGCCGTTGCACAGCCTGTTCCCCCTGCCCCAATGACGCCCTTGAGCAATGCTCGGGGGCAAACTGAACTTTTGGTCTGCACCTATCATTCAAGCGTGGATCCAGTAGGGCACTGAGAGCAAGTGCCCCTCCCATTCACAAGAAAAAATATAATATAATTTTTAATTAATTATTAAAAATCAAAATCGTACAATTTTTTTAAATTTAAGTGCCCCTCCCCCTACAGAGATTCTGAATCCACACTTGCGGTCGTTATTTTACACACGTGTTGTATATATAGCTACGTCCTATAAGTACCTATTTTCAGTGGAATTATTTATAACCGTCGCGTCGACCCCCCTCCCAAATGGCATTTAACTCGGTAAATATGATATTGTTGGTACATACTATAATAATTACCCACTTATTTTGACAGTGTATATTATGTCTAGTTAATAGGTAGGTACTTACTGGATATTATGATAATAATTATATTGTAAAAATGCCGGTGAAATGCCGGGCCGCGACATTATATCCGTTGTATAGCCCGTTGGTATCAATATTTACATAATATATTTTTATACGCTTTGTGTTCGCTTGATGTTTCCGATTTTTCGTTTAAACGGCTCTTCCTGTTCCATGTACAGTTACCGCCAAAGTTATTGCTGTAATAAATTATCGGTTATACCTAATAAGTGCGTATAGTATATATTATATAGGTAGTAGGTACCTAATAACTAATATTTTAATATATGTAATAATATACAACAAAACAATAAAATTATTACCACGCTTTTGATGGGATCGCCAAAGGCGACAGCAGAGTTTCTGCCGTAAGTACATATAGGTATAATATTTACAACGCACACGAATACCATTGTATTATAATACATAATATTATGAACTCGTGGAAAATCATAGCGGAAGTCATCGAAATTCGATTTGATTTCCGGTGGCGGCGCGTGTACGTGTGCCGACAGTAGTTTTGCACTTGGAAAAAAGAAACTTCCGACGTGTAATTTAATAATAATATATAGATGTGTGCGTGTGTGTCATCGACTGTCGAATCCAAATGCATTTCAATGTAGTATTATCGCAACGGTCGTTCAATTACACAATCTCTCTAGGATTATATTCGTAACTATTTTCCAAAACGTAATGCGGACAATACGGTTTATATTGTATGTGTTATGATAGATCACTGCAGACACGAGTACCTACCGGATTGCAGAGGTTATATTTCTAAAGTCTACATTTCTACAAATATTTGTTTCGATGATATCATATTGATGAGAATGTAAAGAATTGAAAAGTCAATTGATGTGTCAATGCGACAATGCCGTACTATTTAATATGTATGCACTTACCACGAATTAAGATACATTTTAATTTGTGGTATGTACCATGGTTGAAATATATAAATAAAATATATTTCAACCAGGGTATGTACCTGTATGTACCTGTTATTACCTATATTAGTGTTTCCATACCAACGAGTCTAATCAGCCTGCAGCTGTATTGCAGTAATTCCTTATCGTAAGAATAAACATAATATGGTTAATTCATCAAAACGAATTTGAATACCTATCTTATAATCAACACTATTTTGTGAAGTGAAAATCATAAAAATTGTACGTATTAAAAAGTATATTTTTGTGAAAAGAACGTCGTTCGTGTATCGCCGTTTTAAATATTAATGGTGGTGCTCACGAATCACGATATAATATAAAAAAAAAAAAATTAAAAACAGAAGAAGATTAGAGGAGCTACACCTATATGCACGTAAGGCACGTATGTAACCAACGCGTAATGGACAAATAAAGATCTTTATTACCTTATTCTCAATAACTGGGTAATTAGTAATTACTAAAGATGTTTATAGTTCGCAGGTATCCGGTAGGCTTAGGCCTTAGACCACATTATTATTATATTATAACGATTTAAATAAATATGATGATATTATGATAATATTATAATATAATATTAATATGCCCAGGTAACTATACGTACAGGTGTACCTACCTAAACATAACTGGAACTCGGTCCGCGCAGTGTTTTTTTCCTTTCCGCCATAATTCACCGTCGCGAGTTGTAGGTACCACGTCCTACACTCCTACCTATTACGGCCCTGCAACAACAGCAGCAGCAGCAGGCTGCCTCCCGCACGTCAAGTCACAAACTTAAACTCTCTCTCGCCGCCGAGAACGAAGTCCGCGGGGGTTATTTTATTTTTATTCTCGTGCGTGAGTGTGTGTGATGTGCGAGTGTGCGCGCTCAATTGACTGCGCCCGCGGTTCCCCTGGGAAATCTGCAGGTGCCGCGAAATAAAGTAAATGAGATTACAAACGTTGTGGGGGGGGGGGGGGGGGGGGGGGGGGGAGAGGAGTAGATGGTCGAAAATTGTGTGTGCGCTGCACAGTTTTCCGGAATTCATTTCGGACGCGAATTGTTTTTCCATAGGTGTACGATATATTTTCTTTTTTATTCATTCTGGCTAATCGATATTTAAAACGGCCAAGCGGTTGGTAGGTGGATAGGTAAACGATTTTCATGCTACAGCACAACATAATAATATACCTACTTCATAATGGTTCTTACTTGTAATAAATAATAGTATTTTTGTTTCGTCCAGGTCTTATAAAAACGGCTCGTGGGGATAAATTTGTTTCCACATATAGAGATAATATGTAATACCTCAAATACCTGTATAAGGGATTATTCAAATATAGTGTGAGACAAAATCGGTGATTATGTAAAATAATTTCTCATGCGACCCTCTATCAATGATAAATATTATGTTTCAAAACATTCTCCAATCATGCACAAATCATCATAATATTAATAAGTCCTCATATTTTCAAAACCTATTATATCATAGACTTAGTAGTTAATACACAAAGGTCACAAAGTTAAATGGCTTTAAAATTAATTTCGTTTTAGATATTATACAAACATTCTTAAAACATTGATCTGTTGAATAATTCATAAGTACCTAAAAAAATGGTTCGGTTCTATAATTTAAAAAAATCACAAGACCCTCCTTAAATATTATAAAAAATCTATGAATAAGTATTTGAAAATATGAATTAGGATGCCTATACCTACTTAAAAATTCCAAGAATAAGAATTTATATATGAACTCATTATTAATATATAAAATGAGACTGAGCATTCTTGGTAAATCACCCTGTGCCCCTGTGTGATATACAATGTACATTTTATGGTTCTTACTTGTTCCTAAACGAAACATCATCTCGAGTATACGTACCTACACCATATATAGAGACATTAAGATATGTCTTTACAGGACTATGTGAGATACATCCTATATAGTATTTATAAAACCTGCTAACAACGCAAACAACGCCCGTGTATATTATTTACTATTTCATAAATGGAATCGATTTGAAATACTGTATATAATACATAATATGGTGTCTCGAAACGTGTGTTATATTTATATATAGAACTCCCATTATATTATTATGGTTATGACGGATTAAATCTCACGCACTTTGTGTTTTCCCGAAAATGCACCCGGTCAAATGTCGGTTTAAATTTATTATCGTTTGCGTGATTCGTTGACGCCATTACATCGAGTTGATATTAATGGTTTATATTTTTCGCAGGAATGGCAAACGTCACATGTTCGGAAAACGAATTTCAATGTAAAAACGGACACTGTATAGCGCTTCACTGGCAATGCGATAACGAAGCAGATTGCAAAGACGGTAGCGACGAAGACCCAAAAATATGTCGTAAGTTCCCATTACTCACTATTAATATTATGCCGTATATTCAAATAATATTGCACAACACTAATGACAAAAATATATAGTGTATCAACGATTACAGGGTTAGTATGTACCTACCTCTATTTAATTTTTAGACGGTAAAAAAATACTAAAATCACAAAAATCGTTTCAATTTTAAAATATACTTGGGGAAATATAATAAACTGACGAAAATCTATATGTACTTCTATCGTCGTCAAACTTTCCATAGTGTTATCACTGATTATAAATAAATTACAAATCACCATTTATAATCAACGCTTTTGTATAATATAAATCAAGTTAATATTATGTATATCGTTAAAATCTACATAAAACCAATTATACATTTTAAATATTGGAAACTTCCTATTCCTGTGCTGGTCACTCGTCTCCTGAAAATTAATCCACTACAGCACATGTGAGGAAAATTGTGTGGGTACAGTGGCACTTTTCAGTTTTACTTTCCTGATTTTTAATTAATATAATTATATAATTAATATTATTATACATACATATATACATTATATATTAATTAGTTATATAATTTATATTATTATATTATTTAATTATGGTGATTGAAAAGAAAAAGTCTGAATTTTTGTTAAATAGGAAAATAATAAAAATATAATGCAGTAATAATGAGTAGGTGGATAATTAAGCTAGCTTTCATATACAATATTAATAAGAGACATCCGATATCACACCCAAGCGGTATAACGATTTGAATCCACAAAAACGTCGGTGTGCAGAATAGTCCTAAAATGTCTATGTTTAAACTTTTCTCCTAAACTATGACACCTAAAAAGTTGGTTGATAGCTCATTCAAAAGGGATTAAAGTAGATGCAAAATGTGAAATTAAAATTTTTTTAAATATCATTTAATTTTTTCCTACAGTTCAAAAAAAGAGTTATTCTCCTCTAGATTTTCATTTAGCGGAGTAGATTTCCAAAACTGGAGAACTGATTTCATTTTTGGGATCTTGTTAGACTCACATTGGTAAGGAGAAGTGCAGTGAAAATTTTTAGAATTTTATCTTCAATCGTTGATTCACTACAAAGCTTTAAAGATAAAAAAACATCAAAAAACGCCCAGTTATATGTGTTTTAATTTTTTTTAAGGCTTTGCAGTGAATTAACTATTAAAGATAAAGTTTTGAAAATCTTCACTGCACTTCTCCTTGCCGACGTGAATCCTACTATACTCCAAACAACAAAATCCGCTTTTCGGTTTCGGAGATCTATCTCACTAAATGAAAATGATTTTGTTTTTTGAGGGGACGTCATACCGACGTTTTTCTGGATTCGAATTTTATACCACTTGGGTGTGATATCGGAAAATATTTATGTGAGGTACACTATTGGTTATCAAGTTTAATAATTAGGTAATTTAATAAATAACACAAGCAAAATGACTTTAATACCTCTTAAAATTCAAACCAGTAATATTCAACCAACTATATTTTACTATAAATTATAATCTAATATCTTCTTGAGAAATTAATTTGCAATTAATAATTTTCTTAAAGTACAATTAAGGCTTAATCATATTCTAATAAAATACATACATATTACATACAGTTAATCAAAGTTAGTTTACATGCCGATCTCCGACTTGACAAGCCTTTTTTTTCTTATTACGTTAACGTTTAAGACCTATACATTTTTAATTTTTATGTATACAATTAAGTTTTTATCAGTTTTTTTCCGAAAATAACTAGGAAAACCTTAATGCTACCAGTCAGGTTTTGTTTTTATACCACCAAAAATAGAATTTCTCATGTATAAACTGTAGTTTGTAATGCCCTAATAAGTTTTTTTCCGACATAACACGTATTAATACATTATTATTTATTATCTATAGTTTTCAAAAGTTCAAAATGACATGAATATAAAACATAGTGGTATAGTAGTATATATAATTATGAAAATATGATAAGTGTGTATTTCAAACGAGATGATGTAATGATAAAGAAATAATATTAGGTTCCTAATATACCATTGATTAAAATTAATAGTATAATATTATAACACTATGTATATTATTTATAATCAATGCTAATACCAATATAAATTGTTTTAAATGCAAATACATCTATTTATAAATAATATATTCTAATTCAACCGGTATAGGACCGAAATTAATACCTTATAAGTTCATGATGTAATTAAATTGGAATGCCAGTCTATAATGTAATATAATTGCCATAATATTATAGTTAAAATGTAATAGTAGTTGAAGTAGAAAATGCATACTTTTAACTCAGTTTTTTGCATAGTACACATAATTGAAAAATACATTGACAATGACATTGTTATACTTGAAAGGTCGTATGCGTGGGCTTTTAAATTGAATTAGTAGTCAGTATAACTACTATAAGTATTACTACGCACATAAAATATAATACAATTCGATGATATTTTAGTAGTCAATATAGCTTTGTAATATAATTCCTTGACCATTTACAATAAGTTTTTTAAAATGTATATTTTATTGATTTCTTAATTTATTTAGGTACATATTTATTTTAACTATTATTCTATTTGATAGATCCCTACTATTAAATACTATAGTAATATGGTCATTACTTATTATTGGACTAACATAATACATATTATAACTATACCCACTATATAAAAATTATGTTTTCCTGCCACAACTTATCTCCTATTTAATTACATTTCAAAATAATTTAACTTACTTCCCATTATTAAATCTTATCTGGATGTTATTTTAAGTATTCTAATATTCTATTATATTTCTGAGCACCAAAATAATCTACTTTTTTCCAAAAATTTATATTTTTTCCTCTGAAATACCTAATGTTTTTGCAATGAAAAATCCATTAAGCCATTAAGCTCGTCTTTCATAATATTTTACCCTATTTTTGTTGATATTTTTTAAGATATTATTTTCAAACGTAATCACAAACATATTAAATAACAACCTGCTTGGTAGTTGCGTGTGTGATTATTATTTTTCTTTTTTAATTTTCCACTGAAAACAATATTTTTTAGGTTTATTCTATTACCAGCTTTATCGCTAAACGTTCTCTTCAACTATCAGCCTTAAGACATTTCCGCATACTCACGATTTAAAATAAAATATTATTTTTTTATGCACTTAAATAGTTAAATCATATGTTATTTTCAAAGGTTTTTATTAATTCTGATTTGAAATGCATTTTTAAAATTATTAAACTTTTTAAAATAATAACTTAAACTTTAAATTCAAAGATTTAATCGTATAATATGTTGCTCTATCTTTACACTCAAATTTTGAACATATATTTAATTATAATAGTGATTATTTATTTTAGCTAAATTTTTCTCTGAACCATTTATCAATGTGCAAAAATTTAGATAAAAAAGATGTTTTATTTTTATTTTTCCAAAAACATTTTTATAATTTGAAACTATTGTAGCTTATGAGTTTGTGACTCCAAACACGTTTTGACTTTCGTTGCAATGGTTGATGAAATTATGACAGGTTTTATTTACTTTTGTTTTTATATGTTATTCTCGAAACGTTCTTCACCGCGTTCGTGACTGTATAACTGTATAAGAATCGAATGTTTTGGAGAGGACCAATCTATTTGAAAATATTGAGTTATTTTTTTTCTTGTGCTTACACGTCGCTTTATTTTCCAACTGAAACCTAATACGGCAATTTCCAATTGTTGTTCTGAAGAACGATATATAATTATTGCAAACAAAAAGCCTTTGAAATAATAAAACGTTTTCTTTTGTACTGGTTGGTTACTGATATTTTTGATACTCAATTTTCCACTTAATATTGATTACTAGAAAGTTTAGAATTCAATTTCATCTTACCACTTGAGTATAGAGTTCTACTTAATGAAACCATATCCGTGTTTGACAATATATACATACCTAGTTAATTTAATAATTAGTATTAATTATAATGTATAGCAGATGTATTTTCTCCTTGTGCATAACTATTCCAAACATTTTTTGCATATTTGACCCCTAGTTGAACCCTGGAATGAAAATTGAAACTGTAAATAATTATTAACATATACATTTAAGAATCATATTTTTTAAATTTTAGTCTCAATATACAATACTTTATTATGAGTATAGGTTTTCTATCTTTCGTGTAAAAAATCCTATCAAATAATTTTTGGGACGGCAGGTATGATTACCAAAATGTTATTAAATAACTACACTAGTATAAGGTTTTATAATTTTATAAAATTTAATTATTCGGAAAAACAACATGACTTATAAATATTAATATTTTCAATCAAGAACTTAAGGAATAACTTCAATTTTGCCGCCTAATTTTTCAATCGTATATTCTCTGTTCGCCGAAAGAGTATCGTAGAGAATAAACCAAAACTCGTAGTACCCCGCCAAAACAACTTATCTAAGCTACATTATCTCAGAGAACGGAATATAGATATTAGATGTAAAGTCGCTGAGTTCAAAATTGCATAAAAAAATATGCCTATGTCCTAGCGAATACAACAATAAACTATGTCCTTTTCTCAGAAAAAATTGACGTTATTATACGGTTTCTTGTCAATTTATATTTTTCTTATTTTATTTTGTACGATGTTTCCCATTCAGAACTGGAAATATTCCACAAATAAGTCTAATAATATATTATTTTTGGTATGTATAATTTATTTTAGATTTTATTACCTAACAAGGCTTAAGTTAAAAAAAAACCGGGTACATTATTACTATGCCTTAACTTTTGTTTTATTTAATAGTTAAAAATGTCATTATTATCTTTTTAGTATAATTAACAGGAATAATGGGGTACCTAAACGATGAATTTTTGAATTTGTTATCTTTGTTCTTAATTCCTACAATATAGGTAGGTACAAACTACTAGGTGATTCTTTAGACGATAAATGATGTACCTAAAGTTTATTCACCTCCAAATATTCGTAATTTTTGTTTCATTTAAAAATAAACCTTATGATTATGAAGATTGAATATAATTTATGTTCTTTCTAATTTTTTTAATAAAAAAAGTTTTTTCATAAATCATCTGTAAAATGGCAGATTATAATACCGCTTATTATACAGACCGTTTGCACTGTTTTAATGGTACACATAGATATGTTGTGATGTGTTATAAATCACCTATATATGAAATTCGTTCTAGGGTTAATCGTCGAATATTTTAATTTTATTCAGGCAGAAATATGAAACTCTATGAATAATATTTTACTGCAGACAATAAGCCGTTTGACAATCAAAAACTCTAATGCGAATCCGAATTGAGTTGTTTGGTAGTTTCCAAAATATTACTGACTTATTACACATAAAAAAAAATACAAACTACAGTGATGAGAGTTATACTTATAAGCTAAAATACTACCTACAAAAACCCGCACTCAAATAACCAACATATAAAATAATAGTGACATTCCGATAAAAACATTTCGATTTAATCTAATAATATTGTGCATTATTATTATTAGGTATAGGTACACAATCAAAATATATCAGTGCGAATTTATAGTTCCGTTTCACGGATCCTTATAAAGTTATAACAATATAATATAATATAATTTATTGAAAATAAAACACTTATATATAATAAATACATACTAAATCAAAGTAACGCAATGACAGTACTAACACAGACACAGACACAGACACAGACACAGACACACACACACACAGACACACACACACACACACACACACACACACACACACACACACACACACACACACACATATAACACATCACGCATGCATGTATAATCGAATAAATCATTTAAAAATAATATAATCATATTATAATATTGTAGTATCGAATCACCATCGGCGCCCATCATTTACCCCCATGGCCCCATCATTATTTGCATGAATCTGTAAACGAATGTCTTATTCTGTTGTGATTTCAGAAAAACGAGTGTGCAACACTGATGAGTTCACTTGCCGCAAGGCCAAAGGCGAGTGCATCCCGCTGACATGGATGTGCGACGGCAATCCAGACTGTTCGGATGGCTCCGACGAGAAGGAGTGCAGTAAGCGACTCTTTGGTTGATTTTTATTTTTTTCTCCTCCCCTTTCATATTTCAATTCATTTCTACATACCATATCACACTCATAACTGCCTTTTTAATATATTATAATATCATCATTATTATATTTAAATTTGTATTATATTATACGAATGCCTATATTATTATAATAACATCATCGATATTAGCATTTCTTCTCGGTGATGGTTGGATATAATTTTTTTTTCTTAATATCCGCTAACTATCGATATCACTATAATATTATTATCTGTTATACCATAATAATAATATGTTCTGCACCCTTACATGTGTAATACTACAATATTATATTATATGTATTATACGTATATACCGCGATATCATGTAAAATCATCGCCGCTACTCGTTTATTTTTTTTGTTTTTATTATTATTATTATTTCACGCTTGTCCATCCATTGCAGACGAAACATGTAGAGACGACGAGTTCACGTGCGGCAACGGAAAGTGTATTCAAAAGATTTGGGTATGTGACAGAGACGACGACTGTCAAGACGGCACGGATGAGCTGAACTGTCCCAACATCACATGTTCCGAGTCCGAATTCGCCTGCGTCAAAGACAACACTTGCATAACGTTGAATTGGCGTTGTGACGGCGACTTTGACTGTACTGACCAAACTGACGAAATAGTGAGTGATGATTACATATATTATAGTATTGNCGAAATAGTGAGTGATGATTACATATATTATAGTATTGTATTACTACATTATGGTTATTTAAAAAATGTTTTCCCAAAATAACTTCTACCAATATTGTTTAGTGGGTATAAACGTTATTCTGGAGCCACGTGTTTCATTAAGTTATAAAAACGTAATGCAGGTATAATAATATTATTATTTTACGTCAATATCAATGCATATTATCGGGTATTGATATAATAACATATAATACATAAACTTACATCTTTGAAATTCTGAAGTGTATATATAGTCTTAAATAGGCATATACTATTGCTCGACCACGAAGGTTATTAATATATATGTATATTCATAATACATTATAGGTATAGTCAATAATCATACGATATTCACAATCGTAATCGGTATGTGTAAAATTATAGGTTTTTTTTCTATTACTTTTTTCGTTTTTGTTTTTGTGGACTTGACTTTTATGTAAAAAAATGACTTCATTACTCGACATAAACATAAAAACTATAATTTATTCATTGAATTGTTTAAATAATAAATACATTTTATATTTTTGTGTAACTATTTCGTACCACAAAATTCATCAAAAACTGTACAATATTATGAAGTGACACAAGAGTTTGTTTTAATATTCATTACAACTGCGAGAGAACGACAATTATTACGATGGAACGAAATGAATAATTTGTGTTCATTGTTATTTTAAAATCTAAAAATAATTTTGTCAAGAATTACGACCAGATATATTATTATATTAGCGAGAGTGAACTCGATTGTTATGCTTATTTGGGTGTTAATTAAATATTAACATTATGAAAATTTTACGTACCAACTATAAATTTAGGATTTGTACATTTTCGTTACAATGATTTCCGACGCAAGTTCAAAGTATTCAGCGCCCAAGTTCATATTATGTATATGAAGTAGGTGCTGTTCTTTTGATGTGTGCATAAGTTCTAATGAACGTAAATGCGAAAGTTCAAACTTCAAAGAACGTGCAATAATTGTTTCTTGAAGACGGTTTCTATTAATAAAGACGTCGTTTTACATTTTGTGGATGAGAAATGGAGTTGTAGGTTGTTCACACAAGATATTTTAATTGGCTGAAATCATCGTATGATATTTGTGTGAAATAATTTAAAACAATCTCAATAGCGGCAATAACGTTTGGGAATATAATAATTAATAGAGTATGCTGTTAGAATAATATTATGAAAGATCTCGCTTGTACGCAAAAATTCGTAATACTATGATAAAACGGTGTTTTGGATAGGCTATTTCGCTACACTGGTGTCGTGGGGGCTTCTTTCAGTATCACAATTCACAATATAGTTGATTTGATAAATATTAGGCGCCTAATAGGTATTACCATTGATTATTACACTTCATAATATAATCAATGCTATTACCTACAACTGAAGTCAACATAATACATTTTGTGATACCGGAAAATGAATCCATCTCACGACCTTGGTATGGATGCAAATAACATGGAATGCATTTAGATTATATTTGAACACAATATTATTGTCATGTTATGTATTTAAAATATCTATCCAATATTATCACAAATCATAATATTATTTTGACATACAGAAGTCGGGATATTTTAAACTTTGATAGTTTGAAAAACTTTCCTAAGTGTCCCTATTACTTTAAAATAAATAATGTACGATTTAAAAAACTCATGTGTTTATTATGGTTTAATTTAATTCTATATACGCAATGGTATGAATTCTAAAATACAACCTTTTCCGTAATATAGTTTATACGTTTGTAATTTATTTTGAAAGATTAAAAACATTAGAATAGATTATTGGTACAATTTTTATAAGAAAAGCTGTGAACATAAATGCATTTTTTTATAACAACTTAAACATATTATGTATTTTTGTGCGCATTATAATCATTTTTTAACCTCGGTTTGTTTTTAAATTGTGTAATACAATTTTAATATGTTATAAATAAAAATGATTTTCGAATTTTTATTAGGAAATGTCGATAAGTTATAACTTAAACAAACTTTGGGCAAAAAAATGTGATTTGATTCAATACTTTTAAATACCCGATATAAACAACCGTGGACCTAAACAGATTTATTAAAATGTAAGCTGTTTTGGGGAAGGAGGGGAAGTTTATCTCTGCAAATTCTGGGAGTACAGTTTAAACAGTAAACAAGTGAACAATATATATATTTTTACCGATTCAATTCATCCTCACGTATCTATATACGAAATCTATAGATTGGTGAAACTCCCTTTGAAATGCTTTCAAAAAATATTTTTTTCTCGATATCACCGTTTAAGATTCATTTACATTTTTTTTGAACTCCCCTATCTGGTTAGGTTAGGTGTATTGGGTTGAAACATGTCTGATACGTATCTATATAAACCTCTGTAATTAATGTAATAATATACCACTACGTATACGATATACGTAGTCTTGTCCCGATCGGTCATACATATTACATAATACTTAATATAATAAATAGGGTTGCGCCGAATCTACCAGATCATCGCAGTGCCGTTCTTCTGAGTTTGAGTGCGACGACCACAGCCACTGCGTCATCCAGTCTTGGGTATGCGATGGCAGCGTAGACTGCGCCGACGGATCCGACGAAGCACCTCACAGGTGTCACAACACCACGTGTCGGTCCGACCAGTTCCGTTGTCGGGACAACACATGCATTCCCGGATTCCTCCATTGTTCCGGTACGCCCGACTGCGCCGACGGAAGTGACGAAGAAAACTGCAGTAAGTCCGCACCACACGATATAATATAATATTTAAATCACATTCTGTAATGTTTCGCTCGCTGGCAGCGTTCGTGTAAAGCTCTCAGTAAAAGCATTTTTTCTATACTAGCCTCGCTCACATACCTCACTTCCATGTTATGGTACCAACTACACTCTCCACAAAGAAACGAACCTCCATACCGTTTTAGTGGATACAATCAAACTCCATTATACAATATTTATAAACCGTCTCAATGGACAAAATATTATCCTAATACACTTATTACGAATCTGGATTCCGATAAACTTCTCGGAAATCCACCCTGTTGCCTACAATACTAAAAAGGCGCAAATACTCATAATTTAAACTAAACTATAGTTACTGGAGTTTCATCGATCTGGAGTTCTTATGGTCTATTTTTATTTTTGTTGAGATTTTAAATTTTACTATTTAAAAAAATACAAAATTCATCGATGTTGATAATAATAACATAAAATATACTTTCACTATTCTGGATTCCTTGGCAAGTGGCTTATAATCCGCTCAGGAGGATATAATATAATACGTACTATATATTTGTATTTTATTTGTTATCTTCTGTTCGAGATGAACAAAGTGAACATAAAAAAACTACTACTTATAATGTACATTAAAATATTATATTGTAATAAGATCTTGGAAAGCAGAGGATATGCTTTAGATGAAATGTTTTAGTCGTTTCAAAAATGACATCCAACTGCATATAAATATATCATATGCCACCGAATCGTACAGTTTAATATAACGTATATATATGTATGAAATAAGAGGGCTTAAAATTAGTTTGAAAAATTAATTGAAACTGATTTTCATGAGAACTTTAATCAAACTAATTTTAAAAGCCATTGTAGATATAAAAAAATTAAAATTTGGTTTCCCAATAGGTATATGAATGATTTGAGAGTGATATAATATGGAAACTATTTTTTTCCGTAATCACTTTACCCGAAATCAATGCACAAAACTGTTTTTAAAAATAATTTTTCATTAAACTTATCGCTCAAAAAAGTTTTAGAAATAATTTTTCATTAAATTAATATATGTATTTATATCAATTTAATACATTATCCGTAATGTCAGTTCAATCATTTTAAACAACCACGCTGACTGTAAAATTATAACCCAATATACGTGTTTAATGAGCTTGAAAAAAAAACCCAAACGTAATCGAGCGATCCATAATAAGTATAATAACTATTTGCCATGCGAAAAGTAATGAGTAGGTAAAATCGATGGTTTATCGCGTCGTGTACACGTTGTTCACAACTACTCTCACGCCTGTCGGGCGTAGATCGTAAAGTCGTAACACTACTAAAACTCATCATTTTAATCGGCCATCGTCGTTTTCAGAAGAACCTGTGCACAAGTGCGACCCGTACACGGAGTTCGACTGCGGCAACGACGAAACGGGTGGCATATGCATACCCATGGAGAAGGTGTGCGACAAGAACATGGACTGTCCCGGGTTCGAGGACGAGGAACAGGAATCGTGCAACGTAAACGAGTGTCTGATCAACAACGGAGGCTGTACGCAGATCTGCGTCGATTTGCCGCACACTTTCCGCTGTGCCTGCAAGCCCGGCTACAAGCTCATCAACAACAACACGTGTGATGGTCTGTATCGTAATTTTTTTTTCATCATTATTATTACATTATTTTTGTCAACATATTATCGTCGTCGTCGTCCCACGGTACAAGGTGTACCTATAAGTTCACCCCTCGGGTATAATCGTTGGCTTATTATTACCTCGAGTGGGGTATGATTTAATTATGTGCGCTTACCTGATATTTTCTGCAGTAGGTACTAATTCCTACCTATCTATTTTCCCCACCCAGCGTGGGTATAGAGTCAATCGACAGGTGGCCACCATTAAATACGTATATTTATACGTTAGAATTCAGTGAGGTGGGACGTCAATTTCATACGATGCAGCGCCGCAAGAAATCTGTTTGATGCAATATCGGTCTCCAAAATATTTATGCACTGAAGCTTCAATATTTTGATAATGCTGTATCGGGCCCATATAGGTTCATGTTAATGGGTGTCGATATGAGTTATTTTTTGTTTATGGCGGAATAAAAATGTAACAAAAAAACTCCGTAAATACATAATATAACATAATATACATGGGTATAATTTGTGGTTTCGTTCAAACGTAATATATACTATGAGGTCGCATTAATGATTAATAATATGCTGACGACTCCCGTTAAATTGCTGTTAGTTTTTGCCACTAGTTTTTCGACTACTTTTTTTTTTTGAACATCTATTTATTTGTTATATCTATTTTTGTAAATGCATTTGCGTGACGTGAAATAACATATATTCATAAAGTATTAATTATTAATGCTTGCCTCGAATATGGAAAAATTGGAAAATCGGAATTCATTATAATAAATTTAAATTTCAGACCACAATTTCATATTATACTGCAAAAGCAAAAATAATATAACCATATACAATATTATGGTGATACTGGGGGATTATAGATCCGATACAATATGTTCTATGGTATACCAAAGTGGTAAAGCCAAACCTATAGACATAATTAATTAGTCTAAATGGTAGCCAAGAATGCAGGATAATATTTTTAAACTGCTGCAGTGTGTAAGGCGTAACACTAAATGATTTTATACCGATTCAAAATAAATCTATTTACTGGACAGGCACGACGGATTTGTTTATTATTTACTGTGCGATATTAAAATTTGCAGACGTAAACGAATGCGAGATCGAAGGCAGCTGTTCGCAGATATGTATCAACGAAAAGGGCACTTACAAATGTGAATGTGAACCGGGATACCTGCGGGACCCACAAGATCACACCCGGTGCAAGGCAATGGAAGGACACGCGTCCCTCTTGTTCTCCATGCAACACAACATACGGAAGATATCATTGGATCATCATGAGATGTCCGCCATCATCAACAGCACGAAATCGGCCACGGCCATCGATTTTGTATTCCGCACCGGAATGATATACTGGGGAGACGTATCAGAAAAGAAAATTTACAAGTAAGTATAATATAATATTATATAGATTATATAGTATTTGACACGGCCGCTGGTAAACTCGTAATTGTCATACTCACAGATAAGGATTGACGATAAAACTGAATTTGAACTTTGAACATCAACGAAAAGTAATAGATGATTATATTTTTGTATTATTTAAAAAAATAGTGCGACCCACCAAAAGTATAATCGCGACCCACTTTTGGGTCGCGACCCACAGTTTGGGAACCTCTGATATAGCGGCATACGTTCACGACATTCTTAAGCCTGTTTCAAACAAACCGTTTTGAAATGTCAACTATATCTACTGCGCTAGCCTATAAAACATAAAAAAGTCTACCATTTTTCGGAGCTTCCATTGACCGTGGTCGGGGAAACTTATCACTGCAAAAACGATTGTGTATAATATAGGTGATAATGTATTGTTCTTATTTTCAGAGCGCCGATCGACGAAGGCCGACAACGGACAATCGTAGTGGAAAGCGGCTTGTCGTCGGCCGACGGTTTGGCTGTGGACTGGATTTACGGACACATCTACTGGACAAACGCGGACAAGGACTCCATCGAATTGGCCAACTTCGAGGGCAACATGCAGAAGACGCTTTTCAAGTCGGAACTGAAGGAACCCAGGTCGATAGCCGTGGACCCACTCAACGGGTAATTAACAACAACGGCCTCCCCTACCCAATCTACAAAACAAAAATAAAAACCCAAAAACAAATCCTACCGCTGACCGTGTTTCCGTCATGTCATATCTACTAATACACAGTCAATAACATATTATTATTAATGCAAAACAAACGCGGGTCTGTTGGCAGGTGGCTGTATTGGAGTGACTGGGGTAGCAACGCAAAGATCGAACGGGCCGGCATGGACGGCACCCACCGGGAGGTGATCGCATCGTTCGACGTGAAATGGCCAAACGGCATCACCCTGGACCTTGTGTCCAAGCGGCTGTACTGGGTGGACGCCAAGCTCCACACCATTTCGTCGTGCAACTTCGACGGCAGCCAGCGGCGCCTGGTCCTATTCAGCCCCGTCTGGTTACCGCACCCGTTCAGCATATCCACGTTCGAGGACTCGCTGTACTGGTCCGATTGGAACCAGAAGGCGATAATCAAGGCCAACAAGTTTAACGGTTCCAACATCACCACTGTCACCGCCTTGCACATGGTACATAATATTACACACTTATTTTTTTTAAGACATCGAAAAAAGTCAAAACCGACATAGTATGACGATCTGTCGCTGCAGCTCATAGTTGCTCTGATTTTAGACCGACACCCTCTACGATGAAAATGTGCGCAAAGTTTTTCTACACAAGATCCCTCTATAGAGGAACGTCGTACCTCTATACAGGTGGTACTGAGGAATGGCAGTAAATATGTCCGTATAGACTGTAATAATACAAGTCGTTTGAGATCGTTGCGCAATATAGGTAGTTGAGATCGACGTGATCAATGAATAATATTATTAAGTTTGTGTTTATTGTTTTGTTTCCTGTTCGACACAGTAGGCGACGTATTTTGTTAACTGCAATAACCGTGTCCGTGTGTTTTTTTGAGCCTCCGATGACTGAATTTTTACTCGGTGGCGTGGTGAACTCAAAATAGCCGTCTAAGCCGAACGCCTCTTGACGAATATCGGTGGTGGGGATGGTAGTGGGCAGAGTTTCGCTCTTAATGCACTCCCCCTCTCTCATATCGGTATCATAATATTTCATACTGTAGGTACGTGTCACGACCGCCGCTCAAAAGTCTCAATACTCTCCTGCAAATGTCGTGACCTCAAATCGCATGCGCGTGTTGTTATAGGACCGCCGCAGTAACCTTTGCATTAATTATGCTTGTAACAACTAACAATATTATACATTATCGCCGTTTCAGACTCAGAACCCGATGGTGGTGCACGTTTACCATCCGTACAGACAACCCGACGGCGTGAACTACTGCGCCGCCGTCAACGGTCACTGTTCCCATCTGTGCCTGCCGGCACCGCAAATCAACAGCAAGTCGCCGAAAATTTCGTGCTCTTGTCCCAACGGTCTGATGCTGATGTCCGACGGTCTGATGTGCGCCGAAGAAGGTAAGCGCCGTGACTTCTATAATTACATAATATTTTTTAATATAAATATTATAATTTGAACGACTTGCGATGCGACATAAGTATATTATTCGCCGCACCGTATACACACGCAGTTCTGCGATCGCCAAAAGTGCGGTAATGGTAATGTTTTTTTCAACCATATATATTTTTTATTATTAATTCTTATTCTTTTGCAACACTACCTAATCATAATAATACTTGATTGATTTTTCTTCCGAGTGGACATTGTTGTTGTGATAATAATCACATATATTATTAGTTATATTATTATTACGTTTTGTATTTTGATCGTTTTTATTTTTTGTCTTTGTTTTTCACCATCTATTGTTTTTTGGTTGAATAATTTTACAGCTAAGAACTCAACGGTTTTACCGAAACACCACAAACCCAGAATTTATAAAAAATTCAATATTACGCTGATAAGTGAGTACATATATCAATATCCGTGGACGAAACCTGTGTACATATTTATGTATATCTTCTTCTTTCTTCTGTGCAAAACTTCTATTATAACAATATAATATGTATACCTATATATAATACAGGAATGAGCAACATATTTTACAATTCATAATTCAAATATAAAATAAATACATATATTATCATCTGTCTAAAGTACTATAAATACTTATTTCCAAAAAAACATATTAAATAGGTACCTACAATTACACATTTTTTTGAAAAAATCATATTATCTAATATACCAAATATAATATAATGGCATGCCACATAGTTTTTAATAAAATAAAAAAGTTTACCATCACTACTTCGAAGAAAAGATTGAATTTATTTGTATTCCTCTATGATAGACTAAAACAATAAGTTAATAATATAGATACCTAGGTACATGTTGGGTACTATTGTTAACATTTAAAAAAAAAAAAATTCAAATTTGTTAAACTCAAATTTATGTTTGTAACTTATAAAATGTATTCAAAATATTTTATTTGCTCATGCCTATATAATGTATACAGTATACATATTATACGTTGTAATATACACACGCTTGCGGTGGTTGGTTATACCTTGTACATTTTTGTGCTCTCTTCGCCTGTCTCTATACGTTATAATATACGCGTATCACGTCATTTTTCTCGTTTACCACTTAAAAATATTACATTTTTATTACCTATAATGTGTTAAGTACTATTCGGTAAAACGAAACCGATAGCATTGAGAAAGACCGCGTATCAAAATAAATTCGCATACATATTATTTATACATTGTGCCGCGTCGCGCCGGTGGGTTCGGGTTTTCTCAATAAGTTTTAAATCGGAATTTGAACGGCCGAAAGTGTTTTGTGTACTGCTGCTATTCTCTGCTGCTAAAAGTTTGCCAGATCAATGCAATTTTCAAAAAAATAAAAACTTTATATTTTCCTCCTAACCAAATACGTGACAATAATAACTGCAGACTACACCATAGTCGTACCTTCTATATATTATTAAACTGATCAATATGCTGCAATATTGCTGTGGGTTTTGTTTTATGAGTTTCATAGGATATATACCTATTTATCTCTCTGTCGGCCCACACCCTACCAAACAATCAGACAACTTTGCGGATGGCGAGAAAGTAATAAATGCGTGTTAATATCTCGTGATCTCTCTCACCGTTAAGCCTTATTTATTTTCATCACCTCGAGGGTCATTTTATTTTTCCGTTAAAAGAAAAAAGAATCTATATTCTTTTCGCATTTAAAGAATTCACTAAAAAACTTTGAGCTTAAAAAAAATATATCTGAAATATTTGAAAAGTATATATTTATTGTGCAGTAATATGTTATAATTTAGAATGTTTAATAAGTGAATTCCATCTGGATGATTTGTTGTTCAATAATTTACATGTTATTAGCATTGACTTTTTTTCTTTGTAACTGGATTTGACAATATATGATAAGAAATCACGTATAACATTATAATAATATGACTTGCCGCAATTCAAAAAAAAAAATGTTTCCAAGTAAGAATCCAATACGATAGGTACCCTGCAATTACAAAAAACGCATTTATTCAAATGTAAGATAAAATAGCACATCAACCATAAATAAGGATTTCACTTATCGTCATTAGGTACAGAGAACTCTCCTACAGTTTATACCTATATGTGGATCGAACTTTGATTGATTGGATTGGATCGTACGTCTTAAAGGTTTCATCTACTTGGCGACAGTTAAAAATCGAAAACCGTTTAGGATCGAATATCACATGGACTAAATGGAAAATAATGAACCTATATTGGGCCTGCAGATGGGTACAGTATTAAATCCTATTGAGAAAAACATTTTGCCGTCCGTACGAGCTATATACGACAATTTAGAATATATTATAATAATTAATAACTAAAAAAAACGAAAATATCACTCCTTTCTGCGCACTTATTTTAATATAATAATATTATACATTATCATAAGCTCTGCGTAACAGCTAGGTACCTAGGTACCTACCTACTTTAAAACCAGCAGATTGTAGCTGCAAGGACGAAATTAACATGCGCACGGCTCACACGCTACTTTAATAAGTCGTATTTAGTTGTATTTAGTATTTACCGCGTATATGTTATAATTATTAAGTTCATACAATAATTAAAATAATATTATATTGTAGTGTATTATAACTACTATCGTGCGAACGGAATCGAACACGCAATATATTATATTATATTATTATATACAACATACAGTCATGATACACATGACAGTCAAACTATAATAATCTATATAGGCACTAAGGCACCTCATTAATAATAAGCTAATAACAATCACTGCGACTTTGCCATCAAATCGATTAACTATAAATGTATCATAGTTTATAATAGGCATAAACTATATAAACTTTATACCATTATTAATTTAAAGTACATATTTGTTTGGATTCGACACCAATTTTCTCTATATTACATTATGAATATAATTTTATAGTCCTATATAGGTATAACCTATATTTAGCGAGATTTCGGGAGTCTGTGTAACCGTGTAGGTATTGAATCTGGCGTCGTTCGGGGTTATGTCCTGTGTATAAAATATACGTATACACTTATAAATAATATACGCTTTTAAAAATAATAACAACATATATAATGTATAGTTTATATATAAGTCACACACTATATATAATAGTATAGGTACGCACTTCTGAAAATGCATGAGCACGCACAGTAGGTACCTATATGCATAACTTATAATACCTACGCACGCATTGTACCGAAATAGAAACCGAACGATGGCGACGCCGCTGCAGGCGCGATGTCATCTCTCCACGCGTTGGGCCGCTCCCAAAACGGTCCAAGAGACGCTGTCTAGGCATAAATGAGATAATAATATTATTATTATGGCTTGTAATTCTTCAAAGCGCTCGCTGTATACACGATAGATACCTACATCAAACAATATTTATTATATTATAATATACTTACGCGTATCTGCAGGTGGTGGTGCATTAGTAGAGCTATAATAATAATAATAATACGCGTGAGTATAATATATTAATGTAAGATTATTGTAATATTGTAAAGTATAATATCGTGTGTATCCGCAGTCTTATATAAATATATATTAATATTATAATATAATACACCAACGTATATTTGTGCTCTTAACGTCCCCGGCGGTATAATTTATTCGGAATAGGTAGAAGTATGCGTTACCTATTCGGAAAGATCTGCAACAGAGAGAGAGAGAAAGAGGGAACATATTATAGAGACTATATTAGTATAATATAATATTACTATTATTTGCCCTTGGAATCGGCATCGGGAAGTAAAATCATAAAAACCGAACTCACGCGCAGGAGTCCTTGACGAGGCTGATGCGACGCGTTTGTGTGCGGTACATATAATATACGATATTATTATACATATATTATCGTTGTGTTATACGCATTATATATACGCTCGCCTCGCCCGCAGTTGGTGTATTCTTTCCGTCCTAGTCGTGGTGTGCGCATCCAACTAAATCATCTTCAACAATAAATTATATAATAATCTATCTGTCGGGAGATCTATTGTTTGATTTTTGAGTGATACGCCTGTAAATTGTAATAACGACGACGACAACAATACAATTAAAATAACTGTAACATTATAGTATAACTTCGATAGTATAATAAATTATTATATTTTACGATATAATAATATTAGTATATAGTTTTTTTTTACATCGGTGTACTATTTCCGTTGTTTACGGCAAAAAAACAAAAAAAGGTAAGTGTCTATCTAAGTGCTTTTGTACGATACGCAATGAGTCTCATCCTTTATATGGGGCTTTTCATCGTAGTCGGCTGTACGTATAATATGGTATTTGTGGTATTTGTATAAGAATTGTGTGTATGGTACGTCGAGAGACGCTAGGCCTGCGTGTTTTGGAAGGCATTTTATACATTTTTTTTCACCAAGTCCAAAATGCTCGTCCCGTCATTGGAAATCCCCATAATATGATTCCTACCAGAGATTTCTCGCCTGTCAATTCTCTCGTCGTGTACTATACACCAAACACGTACCTAACCAATTGTATTAAACATGTATATTACTAGCTGTTTTGGGTACCTATTGTCATTTATAAATCATATTGTTTTATTAAAATACCAATGCAATCAATTTTATACACATAATTTTTTTTATTTTAATTTACAAATGCAATCAATTTTATGCAATTCCTGCATTTTATAATATACCTACGACTGCCGACGTTATATTATTATACCAGTTAGTTATATGACTGACTTCGAACTGTTATAATTATTTATATGTTCCTATACTACGTGTCCGTCGTCATCACGGCTGCTTTAGTGCACTATAATTAATATTATATAATATTTCTATTATTATTTATGCATTTATTTTGGTGGCGGTGCAGGTCAAATAATATATTTTACGAAAATATATTGACCGACTTCATTATAAATATATATACACTTGCATACATTACACATATATTATAATATCATGTTGTTTGTGATTCTTCACACGTCCGTTGGCAATACGTCCTAACGCCCGTTCACTCTCATTGCAGATACGAACAGAACGATGACGGAAGTAAACGTCAACGACCACAACGAACAAGAGGACAGCGGACTCATAGCCGCCATAATAATATTCTCCGGTTCGCTATTGATCACTCTCGCAGCCCTGGTGAGTGAGCCCTCATCTCGTCCAACAACGCCCTTTTGGCCTTTCGGACCGTTAGGTTCGGTATACCGCGGTACCTCGGCTATATATACAGATACCGCGGTTTACTCGCTGCAGCGTGCATGCACGTCATCACGCAACGTAATGTCTAATACGCTCTAATGTATGCTCGGTTTGTAAATTATGTTCCAGGGCGCTTTCCTGTTGTACCGGCACTACTTGCACCGCAACGTGACCAGCATGAACTTCGACAACCCCATCTACAGGAAAACGACCGAAGACCAGTTCACGCTGGAGAAGAGTCAGTACCAGCCAGCGAGGGTATACCCCACATCCGTCGGCGAGGAGGTAAACTTCAACGTTATCATTTAAATATCCCCGAAAACACTTCCCCGTCACTTATCATCCCCGATCACCACACAACCACCACCACCCGAAAAATCCCAGCAAAGTACCTACTTAATATTATGTATTATCGTCGATGCAACACCGTTAAGCTACATACTTCGATCTTTTCTGCTCTTAATTTTTTTGCATTTTTACACGCTGCGTGTTAGTTCTTTAACGACAACTCGGTAAGTCCACCGAACAATAATATTAAAATGTGATGTTATAAATGTACACTACGTATTAATGTATGTTGTAGTACTATATAGACCAGTGTTTCTTAAACTGTGTTCCGCGGAGGTCACTTCAGGGTTCCGAGAAACTTGTGTTTTTTTCTCAAAATTTTACATTTTAACACAATGTTTTTCATTTTATTGCAAATAATTTTTACATAAAATGACACATTAAAAATATTGAAGCGAAATTGTGGTTCTAATTGTCAAGCTGTAATAACTTATTGTTGAAAGCTAGGTAAATTAAAAAAGCTAAAAAGCTAAAAAAAAGTTGGGGTTTCACGATAAAAATGCAACTAAAGAAGGGGGTTCCACGGATAAAAAAGTTTAAGAAACGTTGATATAGACTATATAGTAGTAGTATAGTAATAATATAATAGTGTCGTTTCACACGTGCAATTTTTGTATTTACATAATAACGACACACATGACGATGGTGTTTTTTATACCTACCTACGCGTTGTTTATTTGACTTGTGTATTTTATTTTTTTTCAGGCCGAAGAGCCGTTGACTCGTCCTGGCACCAACGAGTACGTCTAAAGTATAGACCGTTTATAGTTTCTCTGCACACAACACTAGTCAATGAAAAAATAAAAATAAACAAATTACAAATCGCGTTGTTCACGGCGGAGCGCAATTTGTGCGCAGCCTACGACGAAATGTCTGGCGAGTTACCAATTTCATGCGCAAATGCGCTCAAATAGTGTTCAACTTACAGAACGACTTATGATATCTTCTCCGTGTTTTTTCTTTCTTTTTTTCTTTTATTATTATTATTATTATTATTAATTTTATGTTGTATAACTTTGTTCAGAGTCTTCCCAGCGTTTTTCGTACACATGTAATAATATAATTATTCCTCTCGCCAATATTTAAACGAAACAGTTCCTATTGTATATTTTTTTTTAAGTTATATTATTAATGTTTGTGTAAAAAAGAAAATAATAATATTTTATTTAAGCTATACGGTTTGCCTTTAACGACTGAGGTGTACGTGCCAAAAATTATGAATTGAGTTGTTTTAAATTTATTATTGTTTGTTGCTCAAAAGTAGGAATCCTTTGATCTGCATCAGTTCGCTCGTTGTTCAATTATTTTAATCGGTAAATTATTGTCCCTTCTGGTTTGTTTGGAAAAGTAATACTATATAATTATTGTAATTGAAAGGAATTTACAATATAATATGTAAATATATATATTTATTTTAGAGCCATTACTGTTGAGTAGTCAATTTAGCAGCTAACTTTATTTAATTATATATACTATAGTACCGTTATATACATTGAAGATATTTTGTAAGCTTAACGTCTTATTATATATCAAACAAATCGTGTTTTTAATTGGATATTATATAAAAATTAATTTATTATATATGTACATATAAAGGAACCAGTTATAAGCTTAGCAGATAGTGATAAGCGTATTGGATTTGTTTTATTCGAAAACTGTACATTGTTTTTTCGCTAAAACACGCACATTCTTCTAACGAATGTGTACACAAACACACACTCGCGTCTCGGTTAAAAAAACAATTATGTTGTGAAAACCAATTACCATTTATTCGTCATCAAGGTTGTAAAAATATGATAAACATTTGTATGTGTAACATTTCGTTAGATAAATATAGTTTTTATTATTTAACTGTGATTTTTTTGTTTTTAAATATATTTAATAAATTATTATACGATTACATAATATACATATTATTAGTGAGTCCCATTTTGTAAAATCAAACACATAGTGAAAAGTGGTTTGTTCATTTTTTTTTAAAATTAATCGATGGATAAACAAAAAAAAATTAAATAAACATGATCGATTATTATATACACTATAGTCTTATATTACCTATCTTATTATTATCGTACGCATATTATATTATCTACATAACACAATATAATGCTACGCCGCATACGTTACATATAGGTACTTATAATATAGTCGCACAGACACACGACATATTATTTAGGTATAATATAACCGGTACCGTGTGGTACATGGCAGATAGAACCTGCAGAGTTTCACGTTGGTCTACGAAAAAAATTTGACGCCCGATCCTCCTTCGAGCGTTAGTATTTCCGCCTGTTGACGTCTCTCCAACACCCTTAACGCTTTGGTCAGCACTCCGTCGTCAATACCGTTCAGATCTATGTCCGACGAAAAGAAAAAATATATATAAATATTAAAGTAGGTAATACTTGTACTTTGGCGGAGAACGAACAACCGTATGCAAATTTTAAGCTCTACAACATAGCATTACATTCAGTGACAAGACGAAGGCGATCATCGCGATTGCGGTTAGGTCATAACAGGTTGCTTCCCGCTGTGGTTTTATACGACAGGCCACAGGCCTCTAACTCAGGTCCAAATGTCTAAGATTATTACTCGCGGTTAAATATTATGTTTGTATAATGTTATGTTTCGCCACTGTATAATATAAATAGTATAAAAAGAACTAAACCTGGCGCGTTATAATATAATAGTATATATAAAGGCGCAGCCAGCAATTTTGTATGGGGGGGGGGGCTAAAAGGTTTTTGTAAAATTATTATTTTTGTTATTATATTATAATATAGACTAAGATCAACACGGTCAATAAGGGGGGGGGGGTCTATGATTTTGATTTATCATATAATACTTTTGATGTGCGGCTCAGTCTATCCCCCACCCGCGCTTTCCCAAATTGTTTAGTTACAATATTATATTACCGCCACTGTCGCTGGCTATCTCGTAGAACGTACACACAGTGTTGAGCATGGCGTTGTCCTGAGCCCATTTGTACACAATCGACGCCCATTCGTCCAACGTGTGCCAATAAACATTCCACCTAAAAATGACATGGTTTTTTTTAATAACAATCAACGTATTCACGTTTCTACATCACCATGCAAAGCATCAACACTAATTATAATTTAATAATATATGTGATGAGTACATTCAGTAGGTACTTATATGGTTACGGACAAGACTTGTTAATTGACTTTCATCTCCCAAAAGTCTAAGCAGCAGGCATTTATGCGCGAAATTCCAAAGCGCGTATTTTCGTGTCACGATGATTTGGAATCTAGAGAATTTCGTACGACAAATCACGTCGAGACACCGGCCAAAAATTGTGGTGGTGTGACACTCGTCGAATAGTCCAATTCTCAAAAGGAGAATCATTTCGGATTTTATTTTTGTCAAACCTTCAAACTTTTACACGCCATGAAGGGTAGGTACCTGGGGTAGAGTAATATATTATAGAGTCAAGCTGTCATAGAGATGACTTTCTGTATGCGTGTATGCATAACAATAATATGAACCAAACAAACCAGCAAATTAATATCTACTACTAACACGGTAATATGGGCCCGGAAATGGATGAAAAGTTGTTCATGATAAACCAATTATTAATTCTCGAAAAAAAAAAACCTATAGCTTTTATACAAAAAGTTTTTCTAACTTGTTTTTTATAGGTAGAAGTACGTATCACCGTGGTGTTTAATATTAAAATCTGTGTACCTTGTTCTAGTCTTGTCAAGCGGTTCGGCGTTTCCCGTCTTCTGTAGAACGCCTAAAACCGTCATGATCGCTTCGGGTGACAGTTTCCCTGAAGATGAAAAATACTCTTTTAATATATAAATTATCATACAACTTATTTCTGACAGTAAGTATTGCAGTGGAGGAGAAAATATTATACAATATAATCCACACGGCGAGTAAGCGACCATATCAATTATTTCCGTTATTATAGTGTAAAGTAGGTTACCAATTAAAGATGAAAAAGAAATCATTTTTCAAAAGACATATTTGTCATAGACTGGCGAAGATAATATAAAAGACCAGTTTTAATCGTAAAGAATATTATGGGTGTTTCTGAAGTATAATTATATTGCTTTTGTCACATTTTAACGAGGTGCCTACTACACCGTAGTTGAAACACAAATATTATACAATTAATAGCAATTCGAAATTATTTCTAATTAATTAAAAGATATTCGATAAAAGTACCTATATATATATATATTTACTGTAGAATTGATCTTTAAAAAATAATAATGTTATAATATAATTTTCAACTGTATGAAGATTATACAACGGACAATATTTTCAATAGTATATACCTATTACTTACTTGAAAAAATAGTCGGCTAAAAGTTGAACAAATTCCTACGAGACGAAAGCTATATTATACACTATGCAGGTAAATGTGGTCGTTTTCAAGCGTATCGCCAAATAATTTGATAATGACTGCCGAGCTCTGAGTAACAGTATCAGCAGTATCACACATAACAAGAGATAATCAAAACATAAATCGCAATATAATTTAAGCGCTTAAAATAGTTATTATTTATTTTCAATGTAGCCGGGATATATAGAAACAAGATTTATCACAAGAACTCAAAATGAAAGAAATAAAGAATATAATAATGTATTAATGTGAACATTATATTATATAGGTACTGTATTATATAGGACTGTACGAATATATTAATGAGCCAACACGGATAATCTGATATTCAAAGAATTAATGGTAATTTTTTTACGAAAACCAAAATAAATCAAGAACATTTTAATTACTTAGATAATTAGGTAAATCAATAAGTGCGGGCCGCTGTGATCTTACATTGTTGTCCTACATATTTATATATGTATAATGATTTAAGAGCAGATTAATTCATGTCTAGATATATTTATTTTAGTTGATCATTTTACATCAATTTACGACTCGCAGAATTTGTTTTAAACAATATAATAGGATCTCCATTTCAACTATTTCCGCATTTCATTGAAAAAGGACATTGTTTTTATTATAAGCGACCTTAAAGTTAAGAAATTCAAAAAATAAAAAATGTTTTGTATGATTTCATTAATACCTACCTACTGACTACTATCATTAAAACCAAGTATATTTATTAAAAATCTGCATCTAGGATTTTTAGTCATTAGGCTTGGTTGATAAACAATATAACTGTTGTATAATTGTATACATTTGTAGAAATTAATATTCTTTGAAAAATACTATTTTTATATTATTATTTCATCAACTGACCCATATAAACACAGAATATAATATATCATTACCTCAGTACTCTATTCTTTATTATCACACAACTACGATACTTTTTTTTTTTTTTTCATAATATTTATACAATCTATACTTCTTAGCATAATAAGTTTAAGTGAAAAGAGACAGAAAACATGGTATGCGTGATTAAGAACTAAGAAGTCACGCACTAGTGACTCTTTGGGTGATGAGAGATTTGGGAAGATAAGGTAATAATATTTATATATTTTTTTTTTCTCAGAGAGGAAGAGTTTGATTGATTATTGTATCTTTTTTTCAGTTGCCAACGAGGATTATGAGGAAGTGTTAAGATATTTAAGCTACTGATTTGAAGGTTAATATGGTTTGCCAGACGTAAGAAGAATCGCTTGTAATATAATACAGATTCCTCTTCGATCGATTTAACATGTAGATCGTTGTGGAGTGTTAAATTTGAAATGTATGGCAGAGCATTAGTGAGTTGACATAAGAGTGATATTCAGATAAGATTCGATTTTGTTTAGATTCGATTTCTTTGCAGCACCCCAGAGTTGAAAACCGTAAGTTCAGATAGGTTTTAAAAATGTTTTGTAAATTAGCAGTTTATTTTTTAAGCTTGTGCATTTATTTTTTGATGACAAAGTTTTGAGCATATGAGAACGAGAGTTTAAAATTAATCTTTTGGATCTGATGTGTGGATTCCAGGTCAATCTTTTGTCTAACATAAGGCCTAAATATTTTACTGTATCGGACATAAGATACTTAATAATCATTTTCTAGTCTACAATAAAATTGTATTTCTACTAGAACATATTTCACCAAAGTAATATTACAGAGTTATAAAATATTACATATTTTGAGTCACCTACAATCTACATAATATGGAATTGATACATATCACTATGCCACTGACACTGATGGACTTATTTGACATTTTGTAAATGTTTAGAAAAATAAAAACATTTTAACTCTGAATGTATAAATATCATAAGTATAAATTATACAAAATCATGCAGAAACTACATAGGCATATGTAGGAAATTTATTAATAACAGAACTATTTGAAAAAAGCACAGTAATGTGACTTTTTACATTTGTTTCAAATTTCAATGTGATTGTAAGTTTTTGTAACTTTTGTCAAAAGCATGGAATATAACTATACAAGTACTTAACTAAATCCTAATATAACAAGTACCAATTAAGGGTAAAAATAGAATGAAATAAATCACTATAGCTTATTGGCCATTGGGTCTAGATTTGAAGGCCCTCAAGTGCTATAGCCCCGACAGCTCCGTTCAGAGGATTTTATTGATGATTTGTACACTTACTGGATATGTTAGTATTATTGAAAACAGGCAATAGATCTCCTTCTCGCACATCAATAACACAGATTTTCTGCATGCGACAGTAATCCAATAGCAAAGTCCTCCAAGCGTCTAATTGCTTCTGTCTCGTCTCCGCGTTTGGCTGGATTCTGTTAACCATAATCGATCAATAGTTATTGCAAATGGATCAGACATTAAAAAAATATTATGGTATTTGGACACTTATCAAACTTACGTGAAGAACGGTGGGAAACTATATTGCCATGGCCATTGAACTTCACCCATGTTGATGTTACGTTAACATATATTATGAAGTTCTCGATATTTGGGAATTTGGAATTCCAAACGATTGAAACAGTAGTCAGAAAAATCACTGAGATTGATTAAAAATAAGTTTTCAGTTTACCACCTTCAAAAATTGAATTATTCAAATTCTCTGTCAGTTATCAGACAAAGAAGACTTGTAAAAAATAAAAAACATAATATTATTATCGCTCTGATAAGAATACAGTGCAGCACTGCAGCAGACGATTATTGTTAATTATTTAATATGATCTAAGCGCAAACTCACAGAAGTCGTAACCACAAATACCTATAGGCTATAATATTATTAAAATACTATTATTATATGTATCTGTGGTCGTAACTCGTCAGAACTCAGAAGTGGTCGTCAGCTACAGCATAACGTAATAAACGTATCAACTAATTATTATATCATAGGCTTGAGCTACAGTGCCACACGAATAATGACTATTCACTATCAATAAAATTGATTTCAAATTTCAAGATGAGAATTACAAGATTTGGAAATGAGATTAATGTTTGCTCTGTTGATGGTTAAAAGTTTATTACTAATAATTTAACTTGCTAATAATTATGCCAATTATTACTAGATCAATTGAAAACTTGGGCCTTGGACAATGAAGAAATTTGCAGGGGTCAAGGGACCACATGCCAAAGCATCTAAAAAAAGATGAAATTGTAACAGGCTAAAATTTTTTTGTATGCTGTGCAATGTGCATCACTGGTTACCTCAAAACACTGATTCTAATAATTCTAACTTAAAAATGTTAACTTGGTAAAGTTCTGAATAAAAATATGACAATAAAATGGAAAACATGTATAAGATAAACCAGTTTGGAAGAGGTAAATGATAATTTAAATTGTTAAAATAATATATTGAATATTCAACTTTAAATTCACCAAAGCTAAATTGTATTAAGATCTACATAAATTTAGTACCTATTAATAATGAAGTCATGAATATATATATAGACTTCCAAATTCATAAGTATTAGTTCAAGAATATCAGCCATGTCCAAACATTTTTAAACAATATTCAATAACTGATTTAAAAAATATTGATCAAAGTTTCAATGTATATAAATATATAATAGTTTAAAATACATGTAATCATTATCCCCCTTGAGTGTTCTTGTATCTTGTAGATATATTAAATATAAAAAACAAAATTGTTATTCTAAGTTAAAATTCTATAAAATGAATTATGGGGCCAACCCATCATCACTAGCTGATACAAATGAGAGATGGTAGGAAATGTTTTGGTATTAGTTAAAACATCTTAATGTTAGCCTTTTAAATAGTACCTAGCAGTAAAAAATCTGATCTGAGCTTTTGGTTGACATAAAAAATTACCGTAAAAATTAAATAATAATAAAAGAGTACATTTTAAACTTCAATCTAAAAACAAAATTAATCAACCATTAAGATCACACTTAGAGAGATATACAGAATAAAAGTATTATTTAATGACCAAAAAAGATTAGATTTATCATTTTAATAGGTACCATTATATTTTGTAAAATATAACAATATTTAATTATTTATTTAATTTTTATTGTTAACCTGTAAGTTATGGACATATGGTAATATGAATAATATTATCATGAAAAACAATCCAGTGGACTCAAACTCCATCACGATAATATCCTGTTCAATGTTGAATATATTACACAAATTAAATAAATTATGTTTATCTATATTGGTATAGTTTTATTATAATAATTGATAATAATATATATAAATTATTAATTTATATAACATATTAATATTGCATGTTTTTAAATGTATTAAAAATAATTTATACACTTATGTACTTAGAAAAAAATCGTACAGAGGTAACCATAATAATATCAATTACGTCTTTCTCTCCCATTTACAAATTAAACATTTGTTAAAAAATTTAAATACAATTTGTCTACTATTATATAGGAAAACACAGTATTAATAAGCTCAAACTGAAATTACGGCAGTATGGCCAGCTCTAAGCCAATTAGAAACTTTTGTCATTGTTTGTTGTTTTTTGCTAAATTATGAGATGCCCAATTAAGTGATGTCTTCCACGAATTGCCTAATGCTTCTTCAAACTTGGACCGGAAATGCAGTTTAGCATCATTTTCTGATAAGTCCATGACAAGTGTTTCGCGCAAATAGTTGAGATCTTTTTCGGAACCCAATTCCGGCAAACCAGTTGAAATCATCATTGCGAAAAGGGAAAGTATTAATGAGCCATGTCGTCTTAGTATTAGAAAGGCCTGAAATAAAAAAATGTATATAATATATTTTATGTCCAATATAGCTTTATTTATATAGTTAGAAAACTATTTATTAGGTACTAAAATACCTTTTCACAATAATTCTGGAACATTTGGAATTCGAGAGCTTCTTTTCTAGTCTGGCCTTTATTAATAACATGCACAAAGTCGTGGGTCAAAACAAATGGTACACGTTCACGGCGGAAACCAAATTTCTCTTTGAAATGACCAAGAATGTGACCAAAATCAATGTGAAACAGCTAGAAACATATATAATAAAACAAATACAGAAACAACTGTTAAGTTATGATATTTAAATGTATATACTTGGCCTGTTTTTTTGACCATAATATTGTCGGAATGGCGATCAGCAACACCCAGCACATACGTTGCCACACAATAGCCAGCACATGAAAAAGTAAATTCTTCGATTGCCTTTTGCAATGACTGTTCTGTTTGATTGTAGTCTTTTAACCATGCTGATAATGTTTTCATAGAAAAAAATTATTTACATTTGTTGTGATTACATTTTTCTATACAATCTTACCTAATAACGATCCCTTTTTAAAGGCAGATGTTGCTGAAAACATTCCTTTTTCTTTTTGAATATTAGCTATGGTTTCTGCATTCAACACTACTTCTATCATACCCACGCGGTTATCTGTCGATATACATTGGTATGGATTCATCCTGAAATAAATTAAATTCTAGGTAAATTGATAAATCAATGTAGTATGGTATTTTGTTAAAATATTTATGAATAGGGCTTGGATTTATATGCATTTGCATGTTTTAATAGTTCAAATACTAGCTATATAAGCTACAAATTTGAATCTTAAGCTAGTGTGTTGGTATGCAAAATTAAATGATGTATATTTTTGCATATTTGGACCATTTCAAATTTTTCTAAAATAAAATGCATATTTACGAAAAAAAATAGTATTAAGTTATTAATGATAATATATCCTATGTAAATCCCGCGAATGTAAAATTTTTTTCAATTCAAGAATATAATTCCTGAAAACAGACTTGCATTTTTATTTGAAAATTTATCCAAGTCTAGTAGTCAACGGTAACTCTTCAAGTAACTTAGAAATGTTATAAAAATATACTACATTTATTTAAATTTATTTTTGTTCATGAATTTTTATTTTGATGAGCGAATGTTTAAAATGCAACAAACATTGTATAAAATACAGTTAAATTATTTCAACTTGGCATTTAATACATTTTTTCATTCCATATTAATTATTTAATGAATCATATACATTTTTAAATTTAATAAATTTAATTAACATGCATTTTTGTTTATCTACTTTTGCATATTTTAATGAAAATCAGTGCATAAATGCATGCATATTTTGTACATTTTTAGTGCATATAATTCTGGACCCTATTTATGTATAAAATATCCAAACTAAAATTTTTTTCTAACAATTTCAGGTTAGTGTTGCCTTATAAATTAATAACAATTAACAATAATATACGATATTATATAATAATTATTAATCAATAATATAATCAAAAATCATCTGTGTATTGCATACAGACACACAGGTATGCAATAGTATGTGTAGTCCAGGGCTCAGAACTTTATGCAACTTATATTTGTAAGAAATGAGTTTATTTAAAATCAAGTGTGACAATATTGTGTTCCATAATTTGTAAATTATTTATCAAATAATGTTTGTTCTTTTTAATTCAATTTGTATATTTTGATATTTTCATACACATCACAGAAAAAGTATTTAATTGTTCATAATATTTTATTGCTGTAATTCAACCAGCAGTGTAACTTGAACAAAAAAATAATTAAAATAATTGTGTAAAAAATATAATGAAGGTAGTGGGGATATTCAATATTTTCTATACACCATTTAATAATAATATAAGAAAAGCATAATCAATTACTATATTTTAAAATACCTGTTCCATAATAACTTTTATTATTATTATTATTATTATACTATTAAAAAAAAACAAATTTTTTTAAATTTGGATATTTTAATCTGTCCTTATACAGCTTAGAACTTACCTCAAATCCAACCCTTCATTTTTCCATAGTTTGTCCATAATACGTATCATCTGTAAAGCAAGCATATCTTGCCTCAAATCGTCACCATTTTTAAATATAACATAAATGTCATCACCATGTGAATCATCATTTTCAAAAACTATCCATAAAGGTTTCATTTTGCTATCCATCACGCGACACTTTTCAGTTCTATATTATTACATTGGATAAGACAATATTATATACTATGATACTATAACCATTAACTGTACAAATTCAACATACCGAACTTTTTTGCACTTATAACTGGGATCTAAAGGACTATGCACAGATGACATAGCTTCAATGCAATGTCCTTCTTGAAAATATTCTTGTAAAAAAGACCGAGCTTTTTCTTTGTCACGACGCTGCCTAACTAACTCTGTGGTCTTTTTCAGTTTTTCCAAAAAATCCATTTGTCTTATTAATGTTTTCATGTGTTCAATGGACCCTCGACAATACGCTTCCAACATTAAACCAAAGCGTACAGACACAGACGCCACTTGCATTTCTGATCTAATAAATAAGACAACAATGCTGGTGACACCCTATCAATAAAAATGGTCATAATTTATATACCTGAGATGCCAAAATAGGTAATGGCCAATTTTTTGATTTTGTAATGCCCTTGTAAGCAAAAATTCAACTAGGTCACAGCATAAATAAGATTCATGTTTCAGAGCTTGGACCAGTTGTAAAAGAAACAATGAAAGATCTTCATCACTAAAATTACACAGTTTTAGTTATTATTGGTTAATTATTAATTTTTAGAGAATATCTACTTACCTTAGTATTTGTAAGCATTTGACAGCAAAACTTCTGACTACTTGGTCAGCATAAGCATAGTCTAGCAATTCCAAAGCTTGCTGTGGTCCTAAAAGAGGCCATCTGGAGACCAATGAGGTGGCCTCTGCTACTTCCCATCGTATACCCCATTCCACACAGTCTAAAAGTTTAGCTAAAAGTCCCGGCACTGATTGCAATATATGATACCTATGCCGCCACAGTTTCTTTCGATCTTGTTCATGCATTTCATCTAAAGGTTCTCCACGCTCAGCCATTGTCCTACAAATAAATTAAAAATATTTAAATGGTTACTATTTTATTAATTATTAAAAACATTTAAGAGGACGTCATACCTCCATGTGTTGTCTCCGTCTTAGACCAGGTCCAATAGTGTGCTGTTAGTTTTGATACTAGAGTAAAATGATCTATCATACAATTTAAAGGTAAGATTATTATCTAGGGGGCCATGTAGTCTTTTATTGATATTATTTTTAAGTTAGTTATGATCATTTTAAAGTGTACAGCTTCAAAAAGTCATGACTTATTTAAAACTAATAATGTCAATAAAAGCCTATGTGGGGCCCTAGATAATAATATCATCTTTAAATTGTATAATAGGTAAATTAAATCTAATATCAAAACTAACAGTACACTATTGAATCTGGTGAACAAAAAATTGATATGTTGTATGTGTGTAAGACAGAGACAACATATGCGAGTACGAAATCTTCTTAAGGTTCTATCTTACTTTATTTGATCTAAATAAGTTTTTAATGATTGTGAATCTCCAACCGCTTGATCTTTTAAGTCCTCTTTCCCTTTTTTATCAGCATACTCTCTTAATTTATCCAAACTTGGATATACAATTACGTGATCAGCTGTTTGATAACTAAAAATAATTTAAGCCATTTTAGTTTTAGAGATAAAAATATTGAATATAATTTCATAACTAACCTATGAAAAGTTATAGTTAATGCTGTTGTTTGTTCAACATTAGGGTTAGACACAACAGTACCAAGTGGGTGTAACAAGTCTTCATTTTGCAAATCATCAGCATAAGTCCACATATACAGCGTAATTGATCCACTTTTCAACTGATTTTTAAAGTCATACACAGTTGTGTTGACCCAGTCCATTGGTGTTACAAACATTTCCTACAAATCATAATATAAATAAAAATGTTCAAGCAAATAGTTTATTTGTTATAGTTTAGATTTACCTGTTTGGATTCTTTAATGCGTCTAGTTCTTAGTCCTTTTGATGTTTTGGAGACTTCATAAACTACTAAACATAAACGAGCCATTCTCGGTATGTCAGCTATATTCATGTCAAATGCTAGTTCTTCATCCCATGTACAGTCGCCATTGTTAACAATCTTTTCAGATGTCCTAACACACTCGCACAATGCTTTACCCCCGTGAAACAAAGCCGCTTCAATTCCAACTTCAACAGTTCTGGTAACATCACAGTTTAATTTACTAATATAGTTCACTTTGAACTTAAATTGTTCATCAATATCAAATGACAATTTGTGTTTGGTCTTTTTACGTAATGTTAATGTAGAGCGAGTCTTATTTTGCTCAATGTATTCAGTCTGGTCTTTGTTAACTTCTTCTGGAACTAAAATATTTTATCTGTTGTGATTAACAATAACAGTAACAACAATAATAATTAATTACCTGGAACATTAAACTTGGAAACAGCAATCAAAATGGGGTTGAGATCTTGAGACAGACTATCTTGTATATAGGCAAAATCTATTAAAGGATGTGGACCAACAATGTATTCTTCTCGGCCACAAACTTTTAGAGTAAAATCTGAACACTTTTCATTTCTAGTTTTTAATGTCATTGAACGTTTATTTAGTATTTGCATCATCAGTTGATCGGGTGTTGTTGTAAGACCCACATTAAATGTAAATGTAGTCTAAAAAAAAACATAAATATTTTAATTTAAGTGACACTAAAACAGGTACACATTTAAGTTTTGAGTATACCTCTGTGTTATCAAATTTTATTACAACTGAAAAATTATCATCTCTTAGTCTCCTAGTTACTGTAGTAGGTAAGACATTAGATGATAAAGTAGAAGCGGCTAAGCGTGGAGCGAATTGATACAAAAGTCGTTCTAACCAAATTTGTCGTCTTCGATTAGCTTGCATTTGATCAGCTAATGCTTTCATTTTTCCACGAAACTGATTTACTTCTGAACTTTTCAATGAATCAAATTCCATAAGACCTAAATAAATAGTGCAATGCTATAGATTAATAACATTGTACTTACTTCTTATATCATGGAAAAATAATAGTAATAAATACCTTTCCCAATGAGACTACTTATTTGGGCATTAAGTACATTATCTGCTTTATCTTCTTGACGCTCTACAATGTTGAGGACTGCTAAAAATGGTCGTACATCACACAGTCTCTTATTTTCGTCCACAAGCATTTCACGTTGGGCCATAGCATTGACATAAGATATACTGTAACTGCTTGAGTCGTGCAACATACCGTGCAAAGGATATTTGACCGCCTCTTCCCATAATTCCTATAAAATAACATTGTATTGTGTTGCGACACTTAAATACTTAAATGTATACACAATCAATAACAAACCTCTTTTAACTCGTGCAAAGATGTACTCGTTGAAACTGTTAAAGGTATTGAAATACTATTGGGCATTAAACAGGTGACTTCCACAACAGAATCATGGTTGATGTCATTCCAAAAATCGAAATTAAAAGCTGGATTTTCACACACCATTTTGAATTGTTTTGTAAAGACAGTTCACACCATACTGCTAATTATTATACGTCTCCACTTTGCGACTTTAGCCTGGAAGGCCATGTAATGTAACAAAATAAAATAAGAAACAAAAGTCAATTATAATGACGCATGACAAATCGGTTACGAACCATTATGAGATGTATGCAACTCACCTTATTTATTAAAATAATTATTGATCATTGCATGCATTATTACACGTTAATATTGTTATTATATTTTCTGACAGGTATTAGGTAAGAAATCTTTTCAAAGGGTGTCAGTCAACGCAATTAGACGTAAATAGATAATTTTCCTCGGAATTACTGGAGGAGTATTGAGTATTTGCTAGTGCTTAAAAGGATTACGAAAACATTAAGAATAAAATATCATTATTATCATCATAAAATTATCATTTATCACTGCATAATTGTATTAAAATATTTTTGCTATTTGATTTTGATTATTATTATTGTACTATGATTATTATGATAATTGTTCATTCTGTTTTTTTTCTTCTCCATAATTTCGAAAAAAAACTAGTGTGTCTGCATGATGAGAGGAGGAAACGACTGTCAACAGTGCACGTGGTCACACTGATCCGACCTCAAGTGGCATCTTTGTGCGTAGATCAGCGTTATCGTGTTATCAATGCCAAACTCGGAGTGCAGACTGCAGAAACGGATTTCTATTTAATATTTAGCATGATAAAAGAAATTCTTTTATCATGCTATTTAGTAATTAGTATACGGCAATGCAGCCTGCTGTTGGCCTGTTGCCGCTGCATGGCTAAATTATTTCTTTTTAGTGGTCACATTGAGACTCATTTTAGTTATGGTATATTGTATACAGCCACAGATATTATATATATCTGTGTGTTTAGCATAATATTTTATCATATCATGATATTTTATCACGATCCATGGTATAATAGTAGTATACAAAAGTTTGTGGGTGCAAACAGTGTCATCGGCTGAAGATAAAAAATTTAAAGTTAAATAAAGTTAATTTTTAAAGTTAAAGTTAATTTAAAATCATTTGTCCATGATTTATGAACGCAATTATCTATGTCTGTGATCGCGGCACTCGGCTCCTGTAGAATATACAATAAACAATAATAATTCAATATAGTAAATTACAATGTCTCTGTCAGCAATATAAAATATTAGCACGTCCGTATTGGGTACGTCTATACTCTATAGATATCGTTATCCATATCCAAATGATATGAACCAGAGACCCTAGTATATAATATACCTAAGCTATCTAATAGGAAGCAATGGACCATATCTGCATTTATGAATTATGACGTCATGATCAGTGGTCATGGCTATCGAGTACATATACAGAACAAATTATATACCTCAACTTTCATTGATAGCGCTAGTAGTTGGCAAGTTTTTATCGAATTTGATAAGAATATTTATCATTTTAGTCTATTCTTCCTCTCAATTCCTAGGCCCTAGCCACGCGAGGACGGTATTGGGACTTAAAATAGTAAGCAACCTAATAACCATTACCCTATTAATATATTACTATAGGCTATAGCCGTACTTCTGTCTTCTGAAGGAAGCTATTCATGAAATAGGACGGAAATTTAATCTTACACTATTGATTAAAATATTAATTATTACATTTTGTCAATGATTTATACCTAACAACAATATTACATTATTCCGTTTAATCGTGATCGCGTGTGAGATTACATTCGTAATTTCATTCCATGCAGTGTTCGTGGCAAACGTTCGATAACAGATCGTAATTCGGAAAAAGTCTACAAAAATTAATAACTATGAAATAACTAATAAAAATAGTAATTGTTTAGCGTTGACTGCGTTATTGAGATAACAAACACCTTCCATGCCGTATTGCCGTGTTAATGTGTTATCATCTCGCTTGGACCACAGAACGATCCAACCGTCCGTCTACGGCAATTCGATTGTAGTAGTTTTAAGTTTTGGTATTTGTGCGCAGTGGAAGGGGCGGTGAAAACGTATTATATTATCGTGAATTGTGATATCGCCGTACAATATTATTATTATTATTATAATTTATATGCCATTACTGCAATTGTGTAGACGTCAACAAAAAAATCCAAGCCTTATCAATAATTGTATATTCTACTATTCTCGCCCTCTCGGAATTCGCATTCGCGTCGAAAAGTGAAAACCCGAAGACTGTGACTCTTGCACGACGACGTACGTTTCTTCGGGCCATTTGGGTTTGGGTTTTTTTTTGCGGAAATTTAGTTTCCGACGCGATATCCGGGTGTTGACAGGCGAGTACCCACAAACGGTCCGCCAAGATGATGAGCCGCGCCGACGGTCTGGTGCAAAGGCGCAACGTCAACAGGGACAGCGCGGACGGCGTTTCCAAGGAGAACGGCCAGTCGGCGGCCGACAAACTGGACTACGAGGAAGACATCGACGACGGTGACTCTAAAGAGACACGGCTCACATTGATGGAAGAAGTGCTGCTGCTTGGTCTCAAAGACAAAGAGGTATATTGTAGGTGTATGCTCACTTCTTGTAAGATTCGTGATTCCTGTCAGGTGTGTTGGTGTGTACATATGAAATGTGTTGACAATACCCGGCTAGACAACTGACAGAGTGATAAATTGTAGGTGTACGTTCACACATTCACTTCTATTAATATTCGTAATCTCCGTTACACACGTCTAAAATGCTTATATGAATACCTGGCTAAGGGCTGTCATATTATTGTTTCAAGCCTATAGGTCAGTAGTACTCAACCGGGGTGACATGTCACCTTAGGGTGACGTGGACCTAGCTTAGGGGTGACGCAGAATTTTAACAAGAAAAGAAAAAATTTAAAAAATAAATTTTTCGATAATAGTAAAATTATAATAATAATAATAAAATTTCGAAAACAATCATATTATTTCTTATAATACATATATTATTCACCTATACCACCACTGTCATGTACATAACATACCTCAAAGTTCGTATCTTTATATACGCTAGACAGCTTTTGGGTGGCTCTTAACAATGAATACCCTCGATTATCGAAAAATGCTATTAATGTGCTCCTTCAGTTTTCTACGTCTTGGTTATGTGAGCATGGCTTTAGTGCACTAACAAATATAAAAACAAAAAAACGCAACAGACTCACAAAAACAACTATAGAAGACGATATGAGACTCGCTCTTTCCACCATCAAACTTAGGATTCCCCAATTTTGTAAAAAACACCAGGGTCAAATTTCACATTAAATTTATATAAATCATTATTTTTTTTTTAACTTTAATTTTTTTCTGTACTGTATTTTTTTTTTAATAAAAGAATAATTTTAATATATACAGCTAAGATTATTTATTATTTTGATGTTAGGTTTTTTTTTTTTTTTTTACATTACACAGTTAGGGTGACGCGATGTTTGATTCTAGTGCCTAAAGGTGACATGAATCAAAAAAGGTTGAGAACTACTGCTATAGGTAGTAGATCAAGAGTATCAAATACCTAGACTAAGTAGTTATACTATTTTTGTAATCACAATTGAACATTGTATTAGATATCTGGAACACAATTCATAAGTTATCATCAATTAGTATCTACTTAGGTACCTAATAATATATCATTTTTCAAACTTTTTATTTTAGTTCGGACTTTTGTCCTATTCCTGGGACTTGTTTTATGCTACAGTCCCATTACATGAGTCTAATCTAGTAAAGCCTGTGTCATGGATAATTTTACTAAAATTTTGACCCAAAGCATTTATCATTAATAGTAGTAGTTAGTACTATTAACTATGATATGTTTTTCCAACATAAATCTACATGGCCCATGCACGACTACAGCCCATCAGTCAGCTGGTTAGTTAATGCCTTAATATTAAAAAACTTAGGTTCCTTTTCATCTTAAGCTTATCAAAGTTAATTAGACTTATTTTAAACAACTAGAGAAATTATTTAAATATCAACCGATTGGTTGCTCCATATTGGTAAAAATGTCTTGTTAAGAAAATGTGTACAATTGCAGCAAAATCATTTGATTTTATTGAATCATACCTTCTAGGTTATTTATAAGCTTCCAGGCGACAATTTTTTAGTTTTTCTGCAGCTAAAACTTAATAAAATTAAATTTATGCTTAATTGCATAAGACTAAGATTAGGTATACCTAATATTTATTTTATATTTTTGTGTATTTACTAATTATTTCTTTCTCATTTCTATGCTTATAATTCTGGGTAATTTATTATGGCTATCTTCCTTAAAATGCCATAAAAAATAATACTTAGTAGGTAGACGGTAGTATAACATTACTTATAACCATTATGTACTTAGTAAATATTTAGCATAGTTATGTTTTTCTAACTAAACTATTTAATTTAAATATGAAATCTTAGTTACCTATAATAGACTTTTTTATTTCCTAAATCCTCGATAGGTATGCCTATTTTAATTTATAATTTATGCAGATTATTTATTGTTTATGAAACTGGTTTTTATAGTGAATTTATTTTTGTATTAAAAAATAAAAATATATTGAGTAACATTTTATACAGAATTATTTGTATATGTAGACTCGGTACCTATATAATGACCATGCATGTAACTATCACTTTCTACTGGCAAAATGCTTCTATAAAACTACTTCTATAATATTAACAATGAACATAATATAATTAAACTTATAAGATAATTAAGATTAAATATTAAAACCTTTATTAGGTACCTACTTAGGTACTTATTCTTGTAATTATTTTATTTTAGAGAATCTGTACAGTACTTGAATAAAGTCTATTTAGGTGGGTAAATAGTTTTTTACACCTTAATACAGTTTTAGATACGTAAGAAAAATGTATTTAAATAAATATTCTGAATATATAATTTTTTTTATATCTGATTATTTTTTTTCAGAATAAAATTGAAATGTATACTTGACTGAGTATATAACTGTAAGAATTATCTTACCTTATTTAACTTGAATTGTACCTACCTTTATATTACTAAATGTGCTTGTATATTTGAATGTGTATTCTGAATACCAAATAAAAGTAGTACCTATACTGAATTCATGCTGTTAAGCATTAAAATATTTTATAATACTTAAACTTGTGTGTAGGGTTTAAACTATTTTAAGTTTATCGTCAAAGTAAGTAGGCATTAGTCCAATAAATAAGCTCTGTGCCTAGAGCACGGGAAGCCCGGTCACACTATAGGAAACCGGGCACTTGGATAAATATTTCAAGCTGCCCTGGTTCAAACTTTACGAGGCAGAACAATAGAAGTATAAAATATGTACATTGTTGAGTAGTCAGTAGTTTAAAAAAGTTAATAGGGATCACATTTTATAAAACGATACACTAAAATTCATAGAATAAAAAAAATATAATCGGTGATAATATTAATTTACGCCAGCATTCATAACTCTTAAAGTAATATTAATTTAATTAAACACAATTAAATCAAAACCAATCTTTGGCTTGCTGATTTGTTGCACACAATCATTGTAATACCAATGTAGGCAAGTATCACATCGAATAGATGGATTTTTCTTATATTTTTTTTCCATCTTAGACAAACCCATTTTCTTTTTTTCTCTTACATCAACGTTTGCTGTTACACTAGAGCAGCGGTTCCCAAACTTTTACGACCACGGCACCCTTAAAAAATTGTTTGTGTTTCGCAGAACCCTAATGTCTAATCCAACTCAACTACAATTTTTGTAAATTAAAAAAGGAAAATCAATTCCTTAAACTCTCAAGTCCAAATAATATTTTAATGATACTGTCAATGACTTTTCATTATTAAACTTAGTTTAAAAAAAAATTTTCAATCAAACATTTTTTAAACAACAAACATTAAATAAACATAATTTTCTCAATAATCTCATACATCTAACGGAACCCTAAGGTTCCGCGGAACACACTTTGGGAAACGCTGCACTAGAGGACCAAGCATCATTGTTAAAACAGCTTCTAACCTACATTAAGTTGACGCCATCCTCTTTTATTGCCAAATCCATTTTACTAAGATTTTTAATGTTGTCTTAACCTTAATAAATCTTTTTTATTTTTTGTGAATTGTTTGTTATTCAATTAATGATAACATTTTCTCCTTCTGTCTAACTTAAGTTAATGAAAGCTCTAGGTGTCATCAATGGTCTTCCAGTCTTATGTCTTTTTCCTCTTATTATTATTTAACTTTAAAACTTTAAAACACCTAACAACACTCAGATGATTAACTAAATTGATTTAATTTAAAGATAAATTTGTATAGATGGATTAGTACTGACTGTATAACATAATACAACTCAAAGGCTTAATACTTATAAAAGTATTAGGTTAATTTTAAGCTTAAGCCAAATAAACGATTTAAGTTTTCCTTATAAATGAACTAATATTATACAGTGTGATCATAATTTAAGGTAACACTAAATATTGCGGTTGAATGAACTTGTTTTGATATTTAATTTTGGGTGGAACGTAGGTGGTAATGAAATACAAATTTTGTGAAATGTTCTCATTTTAACACTTACAGTATGTGCAGTACAAAATGTATTCAACAACTATTTTTAGCACATCATTTGGATTAACCAAATTTTTTCAAGTTGATTTGACTCATAATACTTGGCTCTAAGTTCAAAATTGAATGAATGACAGCCATTATTCAATTTTGAAAAAAAAAAAATGTAATGTGGAATTTATTAATTTTAGATTCATGTGTATAATTTTTTTTTTTTCCGTTAAACGTTATAATTTCTATGCAAAAATCTTCCCTCCCTTTAGGACAACAATGTCTTAAATTTTTATAGTTAATTTTTTTGAAAAAATTCCGTCACTCCAAATCATGTGCTATACATAGGTGTTACCATTAAAAAAAATACATTTTGCACTGCTCATGCGCTCACTGTAAGTTTTAAAGGTTTGAAAATTTCACAAAATATGTATTTCAATACCACCTAGGTTCCCCCCCAAAGTTCATTTCAAGTTCAACCATCTGAAATATTTAGTTGTTACCTTAAATTGTGATCACACTATATATTCAAATGAAGCACCCGATTCTACAAACAGTGACTGAGTGCCCCGTTACCCAGTATTTATCCGGGTGCCCGGTGCTCTAGACACAATAATAAATAAAAAGATTTACTTATAATTTATATAATAATATTGTAATAACTGAGGCAAAAATGTTAAATAAAAATAAATAACTAATTGATATGTCACATAACTTATAACCATTCTAATATCATATCTATTTATATAGCATAAATTTGTTACTAATGGCCAGTTACAAACAGTTGTATAAACATAGTAATCTGTATGGTTTATTTGAGCACTATATTCATTGAATATTGATGTAGATATGCTATGTATACATATGTCAGTAATTCATAGTTTAATAAGCTATATTTAATATTAAATTGAATTATGTTTTTAAAAACATTCCAACCAATAAAATATGAGTTAGTGATGATAATATTTTATTAGCTTTAAGTATTGCTGACAGTGGTAAAGAAAGTAGAAAATAATGACTTAACCTATTGACACTTTTAATTTTGAGGACCTTACTAAAATTTTTTAAATACAAGTAAAATTTCTAGGTTAACAAAATAAATAATACATTGTTTTTTATCATCACATATAATATTGTAAAATTGTGTCTGGTTACTGTAATATTTACTATAGGTACAAATCTAAAACACAATAACTGTACAGATAATTAAAGATCATAATTGTATTAAATATTTATAAAGTTATGCATAGCCCAGCCTAGAACTTTAAACTTTACAATTGTCAAGTACTCAAATATCACTGAAGTCTGAAATTGATCATCTTTTATTCTTTCAAATTAGTAGTATGGGTAAAATTATTTTAAATATGAGTAATATTATAATTTGTAAGTATAAGTAATAAATATAATAATTATCTTTAACCTTCCAGTGGACGTGCTACTAGCTGTAACAAGAATATTTTACTACAATTCTAATATTTCGTGATAATCAACAACCATACATATGTAAAATATTAATGTATCTATTGTATTATAAGCTGTAGTTTATGATAAAGGGGGTAGTAAAATAAATTAAAGTAATACCTGTACAAAAATCATTTAAAATTTAAAAATTCCTAATTTTTATTTCAAAAAATCTATACTTATATATTATATTTACACATTATACATTTAAAATATAAACACGTCATTAGTAATATTAACATAAGATTATGTTGAATAACATACTATAAGTTATAATTAAAATTATTTAGCTTACTATTGCATATTTACAAAAGGTTATTAACTTTTATCATTACTTTGTAGGGGTATACATCATTTTGGAATGATTCAATTTCATCTGGTCTACGTGGATGTATACTTGTTGAACTCGCACTTCGTCAAAGAATTGAACTAGAAAAAGCAGGCATGCGAAGAAAAAGCCTACAAATGAGGAAAGTAATTATTAAAAATGAGACACCTACGGGTGATGTTCTGTTAGATGAAGCTCTCAAACATATCAAAGAGACCAATCCTCCTGAAACAATACAAAGTTGGATTGAATATTTGAGTGGTATGCTATATTACATAAGTTTTTATAAATAAATCAGCATTTACAACTAGTTTAAGAGCATAATTAACTTGATTTGTATTTACAGGTGAGACGTGGAACCCTTTGAAAATCAAATATCAACTGAAGAATGTAAGAGAACGATTAGCAAAAAACTTAGTAGAAAAAGGTGTTCTTACCACTGAAAAACAAAACTTCCTTTTATTCGATATGACTACGCATCCATTAACAGATAATGAAGCTAAAGTTAGGCTAGTTAAAAAGGTAATCAATTATCAATCAGAATTACATAGTTTTTATGTATTCTGCACTTTACATAACAATTTTTGCCAACATTAATTATTTACTTATTATGATTTTCTGATATAAAATATTAGGTACAAGATGCTGTTTTGTCTCGATGGATTAATGATCCACATAGAATGGATAAAAGACTTTTGGCTTTATTATTGTTGGCTCAAGCATCAGATGTACTGGAAAGTGCATTTTCTCCACTAAATGATGAAGACTATGAATTAGCCACTAGAAGGTTAAGAGAATTATCAGACATGGACTTAGAAGTTGAGTCAATGAAAGGTTCTACTAATGACGTAATTTGGGCTGTATTTGCCAATTTCAATAAATAAGTTCATTTAATACTATTTAAAAAGTTAACCAACATTCTTAATACATTTCTGGGGGAGAATATAAATATGTAATAAATAATATTGTTGTATAATCATTTGCCATTTTACGTTTTATTGATTTTTGTAATGAAATTATATTTTTTATTTAATATGCATTGACTAGGTAAACCTAATGTATTTGCAAAAATGTAAATAACTAGAAAGTCAACAGACTGTTGTACAAAATTAATGGTTAAACATCAAATGTGAATGCCTTGTAATATACATGTATTATTTATTTTGTAATATCTAATATTACTTTTGGTCATTAAGAGTTAAACTAAAATTGTATGTAGTAAATTATATAATATACTTATATAAAGACATACTTACATCTTATACTTCAGAAATAATACTGATCGCATAGCTACAATTTTAGTGCCATTTTTATTCTTAAATCTGCTATTGTTATATTAAAAATGTATTTTTCATTAAATTTTTATGTTGACATTTAAGATCATTTTATTTTATAAATATGAAATATATATTATTCCTTTTTTAAAACTACCAATTTGTTAAATTTTTATCATTACTTATACTTATCAAAATATTTAGATTTCAAGTGTTTTTTAATTTATATTTTAGTTGTAAAAATATCATAACACATTTACACCTTTGAAATATTATGCAGATAAGTTTTAAGTTAAAAATTCTATAATATCATGTACTCTCAAATATTTTGTTTGAAGACTACTAAAATTTTTCATTGATCAATTATTAAGATTTGACCATTTGCGCCTGATAAACTTTTTTTGTTTTGCCATCAGTCTAAAACTATGTGTATCTAAGTATATGTAAAGGTACATTTTTTATCTTGCTTTGTTAGTATCATAGTATAATGCTATTCATTTCTTACACTATGCTATATATTAAACTAATAATATCTAACATAATTGCAGTGTGGGTACTGGGAATATTATGTGCAAACAATGGTTGTATGAAAAAAAAATGCTTTACTTGGCTGTGATGGGTTTACGTATAATTTGTTTAATTTAGGTAGTAAAATATTGTAAATAATTAGCAAAACAAATTTGATTAAATTATAGAAATACAATTTTGACATTTTATATACCATACTACCCTAGTGACAAAGTTATTATTATACTATCAATAATTATGTACATTAACTTCATTTACATTTGTTTTAAAATTATTATTGTATTTATTATATATTATTTTATAAGTATTTCAATATTTTTTTTCTATATTAGTAAAATTGTAAAAGTCTACAATATGATATAATTTGTTAAATATTAAAATTGTTGCTTTTAAAAATCTATTAAGTTAATTATATTGTAAGGATTAGGATTTGGGTGATATTCTAATAATTTTCATAAATGGCTTAAAAAATAAAAAATAATAATAATAATAATAAAGTAAAAAAACACAAAAACAATACTTTGTCAACATTTTACACAAGTTTAAGATTTATTGATGATATTATGTCAATACTTTTTGAAAATATATGTAACACAGCAGGAATAATAATCGCTTTAATTGTAATGGTAAGTGGTGGCCAAAAAAAGTAATAGGTGATCAACACCATACCACAATTCTTACTCTATCTGTAGCCATAGATCCTCAACATGTTCATCTGACGTAAGCTGTAGTGTCAAATGAACGTCCTTTTATAAACTACAAGGTTATTAGATAGGTATTTTAGACCTCTATTGATATTTGAAGCTGGACCAGATATAAGCTAAGTCACCACTCACTTCTCGTGATCCTGATCACATTACCAACATAAAATATTTTCTCGTATTATTATTTATTCTTCATGTGTGCTATCTACTTAAACATAATAATTACTTATATAAATATATAGTAACTTTAATCTTATACAAAAAAAAAATATTATGTTAACTTTGTGAACCATTATTATTTATCTAATTGTCCTAGTAATATAATGAAAAGTACGACTCCCGGTGTGTAAATACTTAAAGAAATGTATTCATAATAAGGTAGATGGTGGAGAGTGTATGCTAACTGAATCACACTCTGAAGAATCTAAAATTCCATGATAACTGTGTATATATATATATATTTATAATATGTTAGAATATATTTCTCAGCATTTTATTTATTAAAAAATTTTGTATCAACTTGTGCCGTTTTAACTGTAAAAAATAATAATGTTACACCATTCAAGTTACCCAAAAAAAATTGTTAATTAAATTATATTCAACATATTATGTATGATTAATCTTTTAGGCTGCACTGTTGTTTCATACAGATAAAACATATTTTATGAATATTATTATTATGTATTTTAATTTATCATTACTTTGTATAACCTAGACATTATCTATTAAATATATATTACAATACCTAATATTGTATTAAAACATCAGGTGCTCAATACTTGCAGTGTGTGTTTTTCTTTTCTTATGTGCTGTCCAATAAATTGTATTCGTAAAAAAAAATTTATATAATATGTGTTGTGTTGTATGAACATGTTGAGTTTAAATAAAAATTCAAATTGTAATTTTTGTGAAAGAAGTGTAGTCCTGTAATGTGTTGTCTGTACTGTACAGTTTATTGTGCAATTCAAAAATATATATGCCAAGATTACCACTAAGATAATAAAATACCAAACTTCTCCATTCAGTAAACTACTTAACGTATAATTTTTTTTTGGCTTTGAAAATATTTAATTTTATATTTTTATCATTGTAAATAATCAGTATGAAAGAAAAATAACCGTGTATCACTGGTAGGGTAAAAACAATTTTTTCTTGTTTTCTCAGGATTGCCTTTTATGGACTTCGTCGTGTCTCAAATAGGTGGTTCATATTAGATTATAACTCAACATACTTCATCATTACTGTAGCCGGGAGGAGGGGAAGCAAGTTCTTTATTTGATGAAAAATTGTGTTCTTAACTTTAACTATTTATAGACTTATAGTACATTTATGACATTCGAACAATTGTTATTTAGAGCCTTTTTATACTTATATTATTGACATTTCAAAACAAATTTACTATGATTGAAAAAACTGAATGTCCTGAACGTTTTTAGCTCCAAAATGACAAAAATTTTGAAATTGTGGTGGATATCACGTATATTATGAAGCATACATTTATATTGGTAGGTAGGTACATAAATATAATATTATGATAATTATGTATTTCAACATGTTGCCAACTACAGAGTGAGGCAATGGCCAATGGGTTCTGACAAATTTTAATTGTAGTTTATTGTATAAATCATCAGAACCCACTCCCTCGCCCTGCAGTTGTTTGTATTTTACTAGGTATATAAAGTTATATTAGTAGCAAATGCCAATTAATTAAAAATATTATTTAGTGATATTTCGAAGTCGATTGAACTAAGCCTAGAAACAATGAAAACATGTGATCAAGAACTAAGAAGCATAATGTTCACTATATTTAATTTTTCAAACTAAGTATTTATTCAGATGACAACAAAAAAAAAAAAATTGAAAACAATACAGGAGGTGTACGGAGAATAACGAATAAAAATATTTAAAATATATTTTGGTGTAGGCATTCGTACATAATGTCTGACATTTGAACGAGTATAGTCAAGAGTATTTAAAGTTTAGAAAAATGGAATAAATAACACAGTAAATCTCTATCTAAAAATACACATTTACCCTTCTCAAATAATCCGAGTCTCATACTATACTTTTTTCTAATACAATAAATATTACTTTTTACCGTGATTACACTTGAAAACGTATTTCCAATATTCAGTATTCAATTTACTTTAAACAGAATTGTTGTAAAATCTTAACTCAAACAATATTAACTGCAAACTATGTACTGCCCGGTACCTACTGGTAACTAAAGGGATATGGTACAACCAAGATATTTGGTTTTCTGAACTTACTTTTTGAATCCTTTAGCAAGTGAAAAATTAAGTACCTAGTAATAAAATCTTATTTACATTCACTTATATGTAATGAAATGTATGAATGACATGCACCTATTATAGATACATTTTAGAAATATTATATAAGAACGGTTTGATGAAAAAGCCCAAGCGTCAGTGAACATTCAAGAAAAAACTTCTGCGATTAGCGCCTACAGAAAGTCAGAAAGTACAAAATATTTGGGATATTTGAGCCGTTGAGTATAGTAGGTACCTATACTCGTATATTTTAGTATGGAACTTGGATTATTGTAGAAGAGTAAATGTTTATTTGTAGATAGAGGTTTTACTGTACTATTTATTAAACTTTTCTAACTTTACATACTCATAACTGTATCGTTCTAATTTAAGACTTTATGTATGGGTATGGCATCCTCTTAATAATAATCATTACAAGGCAACTGGTAATATATAACTCTAATATATATTTATTTATATGATATATAATAGGAAAAAAATGTAATATATGGTTCCTCAAAAGCTGCTGCTTTAAAAATTTTTGAAAAAACATACAATCATAATTTAATTTATAACCATTTTTCACTAAGGTATGAACAACTCCCAAGGAACTTCTAAATACATTTTTAAGTGTTGTCAATCAGAAAAATAATATTTTATATATTAAAAAAAAAGTATAGACGTATAGTATGGAACTCGTATTATTTTAGAAGAGTAAATGTTTATCTGTAGATAGAGGTTTTACTGTACCATTTATTAAACTTTTCTAAACTTTATATTAGGTACCTATACTCATAACTGTACAGGTACTCGTTCGTTCTAATTTAAAACTTTATGTACGAAATACACGAAAAATATTTTAAATATTTTTATTCGTTATTCGCCGTACACCTCCTATATTGTTTTTAATTATTTTTTTTTATCATCTGAATAAATAACTAGTTTGAAAAATGTAATTTTTGTTGAACATTACACTTCTTGAACACATGTTTTCATTGTTTCTAGGCTTTGTTCAATCGACTTTTAAATACCACAAATAATTGTTCAAATTAATTAGCATTTGCTAGTAATATGACATTAGTACATTACATAGTAACTAGTTTCAAACGCGACGAAATACATAATTACATAATATTATATACTAATATAAATGTGTGCTTCATGTTCGTTATCTGCTACACTTTCAAAATATTTGTAATTTCGAAGGAAAAAATATTAGGCGATACATAGGGTTACCATAATGTTTTTAGACCAAATCCGGACATCAGTTCCGTTTCCGGGGGAGGGGGGGGGGGGAAAATTAAAGTTAAACAGTATTGTTCTTTCATTAATACAATTTTATTTAAATCTATAAATAAAACGTCTATATAAGAGTTATTAGGTTAAACATGTTATAATAATTAATTAACTTATACTAATAAATAGAAATTAGATATTATTAATTTATATACAGAGTGAACCCGGAAATCTGTCACCAAACATAACTTTTTGTATCAATATAACCACGTTAAACGGTTACCTTTATAAAATCCGGACATTTTTCAAATCCGGACGCCAATCCGGACGGGTGTTTGAAATCCGAACTGTCCGGACGAAATCCGG